TATAAAGACTGAATGCGCGTCTAATTTACCCATCTCCATCTGGCTTTCAGGGCCCACCTTATTTTTTAATTGTGAAGATAAAAAAATTAAATTGCAGCTGCAGAGTTTTAAAACGGCCTATCACTCGAATATCGTTGCTTTAAATCAGTGTACGTGCGAGCAGTCTTTCTCATCAATTCCATTCAAATTGCATCCAAAATAGATAATCCTGTTCTAGTTGATATACTGTGTAGCCCTATATATAGATGTCCCAGCCTACCTCTTCCAGGCAATACATTAAATGCAGTATTAGCCTTATAGTTAGCTAATTGCACATCTATCATTCCAGTGTTAATACTAAATTGTAATTATTTTGCACTATGGCCTATTTATTGCCTTACCTCCATAACTTGCTACATTTACACACACTGTATATATATTTTCTGTTGTATTTTTGACTTTATGTTTTGTTTACCCCATATGTAACTCTGTGTTGTTTTTTATCGCACTGCTTTGCTTTATCTTGGCCAGGTCGCAGTTGTAAATGAGAACTTGTTCTCAACTGGCTTACCTGGTTAAATAAAAAATAGAAAAGATTGGTTGTGCATAATAAGCTTCTAACTTATAGCCTCTGTCTCTTGCGCAATACGAACGTACATGTGCTCCGCTGGCCTCTCTCCTTAAAAAAACTCTCCTTAGCTCTTGAAGTCCCATGCAGGAAAAGCTAGACTAGAATACCTTGCTGGACATCATTTTTTATTTTATTATACCAATAGACTCGAAGAGGTACGCAAGCTCTTGTTTGCTGAATGTTAAATACAGCAGTCAATAGAAATCACGGGTAGTTTGAAAGATGAGCGGACGCGCGATGGCGGTATGCTATAGCAGTTATTTATTCAGACCCATAACAATTCAATCTTCGTGAAGAGAAGTGAAAGCCTTCTGAATCTTATTCTAGTCCTATAATATTCAATGATGTCATTAGAATGATGAAGATAAGGACAACAAAACTTATTTCATTTAACTGTTGAAAGCGATGAAGGAATGAAGCAACAATAGAGAACGAAAGAGCCTACTAGGCTAATAACATTAGGGGAAATATTATGAAAGGTGTCAGCCTACTAATTATACAAATAAGCCCTATTCAATAAAATTAGCTCGCCTATAACTTTGTAGGTCGCATGTGCTGCACCAGAATACCATGTTCTCTCCCTGCTTTAGCATGGTTTGAACGATGTGCATAATTCCAGTCCGATGTGCATAATGCAGTATAATACAGTACAGAGAAAAACTGTTCTCGCTCAAAAAGATTAATCTACTGGAGCTAGTTTAATTAATTTACCCAAGAGAGCATATAGCTAGCTACATCTATAAGGCTGTTATGTTTTTCTGTTGTGTGTAATGTGCAGTAGCCTATATCAGATATGTATTGGATAACGGCACAATCATTTGGGCTTTTTTGGGCTTGGGCTCATTAAATGTATTTTTAATGTTGGGCTCATAAAATGTCTTTAATGTAGGGCTCATCAGGCTCAGGTAGCATCAGACTTGAATTTTCGATCAAAGCTCTAATCAAATCCAGACAGGCTTATTTATATGCTTTATAATGCTTTTCAATGACACAAAGTGATTTATTGTCGGGATGGAACATTTTGAAAATATTCAGCCCTAGCGAGCGCACCGTGCCTCCTGCTCTTACTCATTACTAGCTCTAGCCTCTCCTGATGAACCACTGCACTCACTGGGAGTCTGGGCTGATTCACATTCACCTCTTTTCTGCTCAGAAGCTAACACACTTGAATAATGCAACACTGCATGTCATTTTTTCAAAAACGGAATTACTGTTCACAAAGCATATCCGTTACAGGCTAGAACACTTAACAATGCAAGACAATACGGGTAACATCCAGCTTTGTAGGCTAACTTTCTTTTCTTGCATACAGCTGAAGCTAACATCAATTCACTACCCTAGTACCTTGTAGTAACGTAAAATATTGCTGATTTTTAAAGCTGATTGTTACCAAAAACTTTATTCATTCAGTTAGTCTCCCCCGCCTCACGTCTCTACCAGTCAAGAATATCTTTGTCCGAGCCTTGAACTGACCGCGTGTGAATGACGTAATGGGGCTTAGAGACAGCTCACACTTTTATAAAATAAGAGATTGCTTCTTCTATGCAAATGTTGATCAGTATAATAAATAAGTCCCAAATGGAAAGGAAACGGATTGTTTTTTCATCTGTAGCCAAATTGAAATCAGCCAAAACGAGCTCAATAACTCAATACATGCACACACTCCTATTGAATATGCAATCACCTGTATTGTGAATAGGCCTAGGCTAGGCTACATCTACCCAGTTCATAAATAGAGATTTACCATTCAAATAAATGATTACCGTTATGTAGTTAGATTGGTAAACAACAGTCATATTGATTGTATGATTAATTAATGCATACATTCAAAAATCAAACATTTCAAATGTAATGATATTGAACTCAAAAGATCTGTCTGGATCAAGCACCATTCTGTGACTTTGGCTAATAAGCCAGGTTTTTTTTGTTTGTTGCCGTGGTACCGTTTTGGTGTCAAGTATCGTAATGGTATCGAGTATCGTGATACTAAACCTGGTATCGAAGAAAAAATTCTGCTATCATGACAACACTACAGCAGAGCTTGACTGGTCCTCAGGGTGCAGAACTGGGCTGGCTGAGTTTTGACCTGTGGGTGTTGAATGGAAGAGCTGATGGGGCTATAGGGCTAAGGGGGTTGAATGGAAGAGCGAAAAGGGCCATAGGGATAAGGCGGTTGAATAGAAGAGTCAACGGCCATAGGGCCTGGACGGCTAACTGGGCTAAGCATCAACCAGCTTTGTCTGTGGTTCTGGGGGGGCTTTTGATGGGAGGCGGTAGGTGAAATGTCACAGATGAAAAGGTGTCGGTGAAAGAGCATAGGGAATGACAGGTGACTCCTGGGCCATTGATCAACTATTCTAGGTGAAATGTTCTCTTCTCTTCCCCTCATAACCAGGCAGGACTCACAGGGAATAGGTAGCCTAATGTCCATCCATTACTCCTCTGGAAGCTCAATGGAGTGATGTGCCTGTAAAAATCAAGGCTAATTTCACTCACCAAAAAGTTTTATAAACGCTTACCGTGTAGTCAAGCCTGCATTGTTAGGTGTTTATTTTCACTTTACTCCCAGGGAAACTGTGTAAGGCCCTATAAAATCTATTATATTTTGACGATTCCGTTTTGTTTTTTCCCACATTTTCAGGTTTTCACTCTCAAAATCACACTTCAATAGAAAAACAAACAACACAATTGGATGTCCACAACAATGCTTAAACCACATCAGGAGACCACTTTTGAGGTCTGGGAAAAATCTAAGACATTTTTAATTTTGGGTGTAGTTAACCTTTAATGCAACTGAGCACCAGCCAGAGACTGTTTGGTTAGCAGTGTTTCTGTAGCGCTCGCGATTGCAGAGTTTGAAAAACAAATGGCCAGTGGATTGATGCAAATAATGATATCATTCTGCCAGGTAGGCATAGGTTAATTTGTAGTTAAAATTTAATTGAGAAGCTTTTTGGGAACCTTTCCATCTACCAAAAGACGATTGTCATTACATTAGTATTATCGCTATAGGCTACAGAAAGTGGTAGACAAACACGCACACACAGACTGGGGCATTCCTGTGCCGTTGCCTCTTCAGAAAGTGAAGTAAAATACGAATCACTGATGCATTTTGTACATGTTTTATGATAATTTAGTTAAAATTCAGTTTTAATGTCTGGATTCCGTGATTCCCTCCACGTTCTCTGCAACACAGATTTTATAGGGCCCAAACAGTGGCAAGTGTTACTTAGTGGACTATCCTGGTTAAATTAACAAGAATGAAATGACTCCATGTGCTCTCTGTTACACATCAAATATAGGCTAGTACGATGACCTACTGTGCCTTAGTCTAGGGGTAAGGAGGAGGGTACTGCCTGTGCCTTGCCCTCCTAGAAGGACTGGCAGAGAGCAGCTCTCTTTGATGTGCTGCGTAGGGAGACACATGGTGAGATCTACAGGTAACTGCCAAAATAATGGACATTTTAGTAAATTAAGGTTACAAAGTATATTGAAAGCAGGTGCTTCCATACAGGTGTGGTTCCTGTGTTAATTTAAGCAATTAACATCCCATCATGCTTAGGGTCATATAAAAATACTGGGCAGTCCATTATTTTGGCTACCATGGCTATGCCCCCATAGGATGACAATGCCCCCATCCACAGGGCACGAATGGTCACTGAATGGTTTGATGAGCGTGAAAACTATGTAAACCATATACCATGACTGTCTCAGTCACCAGATCTCAACCCAATTGAACACATATGGGAGATTCTGGAGTGGCGCATGAGACAGCGTTTTCCATCAACAAAACACCAAATGATGGAATTTCTTGTGGAAGAATGGTGTCGCATAGAGTTCAAGACACTTGTAGAATCAATGCCAAGGTGCATTAAAGCTGTTCTGGCTTGTGGTGCCCCAACGCACTATTAAGGCACTTGTTGGTATGTTCTTTATTTTGGCAGGTACTTGTATCTGCTCCACTGAATGAATCTCCATCCACCTTAGTAAACCTCCCAATGGGCTCTGGATTAAAGCAGCCAGGCACCCTAACCCCCACATCCCCCAGGCAATTCCTTCTCCTCTCCACTGTACACCCAGATTGATTGAGATTTAGTGGAACTGGGCTCAGAAACCTGTGTTCCAGTTCCCTATGGCCATGAACACCGAGCCATTCTGGAATCGCACACAGAGGAGGATAGTCTATACAAGGAAAGTGGATCTCAATGTGGTTACCTTGGTAACGGAAAGATTGACTTTATCCTTTCGTAGAAGGTAGGTAGCATTACCATTTCAGGCCAGCAATTTGCTTGGTCTAAATTGAGCAAGTGTGAGCCATCCATTTTATTCTCCTGTTGGCCCTTCTTTGCCTCTCTGCCTCCTCACTCCTTTCTCCCTCTTTGATCCAGGAAAGTGCTCTAACCTATGGACCCCTCCCAGCCTCCAGCCACCCCCAGGCAGCACACGGCTGTCTCGGGCTGAAGTGAAGTGTGTGTGTTTTGAGGCGAGGGAGGTAGCAGCCACTTGTGTCTGACACACAACATACTGTTCTGCTGCCTTTGTCTGCCTCCCCCGCTCAACTCGGCTCAACAATCCAGCAGGCAGTCTGGGGGTGGGGGGTTGGGGGGGGGGGGGGGGGTCTTCTCATTAAATCGCCCTTCAGCCAGAGGCACTCCACTCAAATCCCCTCACTCACACTAGAGGTCCTTTCACTGACTCTAAACTGCCTCTCTCCTCACCCTGGCTCCCTCCCTGGCCTGAACCTCTCCCCATGGTCAGCAGTCCCCTAGTCTGCTGCCAGATTGGTTTGTGTTCTTGCCAACTCCATTGCCCTCATTGTTAAGCCATGTTTCACATGCCAAAGAATGACAAGGAGTTGGCATGATGATGGCACAAACAGACTGGCGCTCAGGTTACCAGTCCCAAGTCCCTACCTGCACGTCTCAGCTCCAAAACACCCCATCCTTCCTAGAACTCAGGATTCATGGGTAGCACAATGCCCACTCCTCTTTTGTTTGTTATTGGTGTGTTATTTGAATGCACACCTGCTGGCCTTGGTTACCTTGGCATCCTGTTCTCAGGACTTAATGTAGGGCTCTGGTTGTGTTCCTGCCTGGCTGTATTTTATAGTAGAGGAGGAAAAGTGAGGGGGCTGAGATAGAGGGAGACAGAGTGGCAAGCCAAGTGGAGACTAATGAGTGCTGCTACCTTGTCTGTCTGTCTGTCGTCTGAGGCTGGAAAGTGGAAGGGGAAGCAATCTCATTTGGATTGTAAATGCAGCCCGCTTTTCATATTGTCATCACACATTAAATGCGGCCCGAACTCTATTTGGGTCCTGCATCAAAGAGTGTCTGAGGATAAATTAATTTAGATTGAATCTGGTGTTTTTTTATCCTCCCCCATTGAGAGCCCTAAATGGGGAGAGAATGACTAGTCTGTTGTTGCTTTTCAGAGGAGATCTGGGTCTGTATCCACAAAGCAGTGCAGAAAAGGTCCTAGTCATTCAGACAACTCCCAGAGGTTGACACAGGAGTGAAAATTAATTCCTGTCCGTCTTGTCGAACTTTTTCCCGTACTTGTCTGTCCCATCCCGATTAAAAGTCACTCGTCCCGTGCTAATTTATATGTGCAGCTTGGTTGTAGCTAGATATGTTCGAGTCGCATCGGGGACAATTTTAGCATTTTTGCTAACCCTTTTCCTAACCTTAACCTAATTATCCCAAACTGCCACGTTAATTCCTCTAACCTGCTATGAAAAGTAACTTCTGCTAGTCAGAACTGGCAGATGTGCCCTGAGAAGTCTTGGTTTCCACTAATGCAATACAGCCGCTCTGCGTGTGAGTGGCCTAGCAACTGCTCCGTTTGGATGCTGCTCAGCGCTCCCGAGACAGTTGCCTGTACACAACTGATAACCACATTTTGACCGCCCTTGTACTTACCCAGAGTTGAATGAACTCATGGACATGTGTAATTGTGTACGTCTCTGCGTGCATCTGAGGTAAAGTAGTGACTCGGCGAGAGAGTGAGCCAATGGAGGGGGTAAATGACCATTAATTATTTTATAGATTTGTATTAAGTAAACTATATTAACCCCCAATCGCCCCCCAGTTGATCTATTCCTGTAATGCCGGTTCTTGTGGACTGTTGCTCCTGTCCTGAACTTAACTTTAGAACTTCACTCCCATTCCTGCCGGAATTCCGCAGGACCCGCAAGACCCGTAGGAGTCCTCTTCCCGTGTGTAGCAAAATTTTTGCTTAAGAAATTGCTCTTTGCCAAGAAGCTATTTGTATTTACTTTTAACCATTTTAATTTTAAAAAAATAACAGTAAGGTACTTAATTGTTACCCAGAAATGATTTGATATTGAGATATATATGGCTAAATTGGCCCTTTAACAACTCCAAAGCAATTGCATATGGCACAAGAACCACTGACTCGCTGCATTTTTCTATTATCAAGACACCGGCTGGTACAGTAACTCTTAACTGGTTAGGACAGCTCATGAGGTGTCCTAAATACAGTATATGTTGCCTAGATGGGACTCTTATGACTAAAGAGGCTTAATGTTTCATTTTTATTTTTACCCATAAGAGTAGGAGTAAAGTCTTTATTCTCAGCACTTACGACCAATTGTGCATACGGCCCCAGTTTTAATGCGCTGTTTCATAGTTTTTATTTTTGCAGTGTACACAGGCCATCTGGTTGGTTGAAGAGGTGTAGGCAAACCTTTGGCTGGGACTGTTTTAACCCACCGGTTGCAGTTGACAATTCTCCTCATCCTTACAATTTGGGGGGCCTGGTCCTGTAGTTCTTCTATCATTTAGTGGTTTTTGACCTTCTCAGCCTCAACAGAATGTAAACGTTTATTTTTTTATAGAGATTTGTGATTTATAATGAATGTTGATCATTGAGGATCTATGTTGGGGTTGTGTGCTTGACTTTCGTGCCGTGGTTGCCCTGTGTCCCTCACTCACTCTCTCTCTCTCTCCTCTCACAGTGTGTGCTGTACCTCTGGTCACTCAAGATCAATCACCCGACCACACTCTTCCTCCTGCGAGGGAACCACGAGTGCCGGCACCTCACAGAGTACTTCACCTTCAAACAGGAATGTAAGTATACTGTCCCTGCAGCATGGCATGTCACGCCAATGAGGGCAAGCCTAATGTGATGCAACACCGTAGGGTACTACTTAGAAATCAAAAGCCCTCTGCAACCTAGAGAAGCAGGCACTACTCTGCAAACAGACATAAAGTACATACTTGAAGGGGACATTCTTCCACCTAGCTCTGTGGCTTATTGATGCTCTTATTATAGAGCAGTAGTATTTGTGGCTGATGAGCTTGGCAACCGTTCAGTGACAGACAGAGACAAACCAAGAGATAAACAGACACTCAAGACAGAGACGGAGTCACTCCGATAGAGACGGAGTCACACACACACACACACACACAGGCACAAAGAGACAGACAGACAGACAGACCCCTCCCTGCCTGTGCCCGGTGGCTGTCTCTCCCTGATTGAACAGCCTCCCTCTGCTGTGACACATCAGGATCAGGAAGCCTGTCAGTCATGGTTCCCAATAGTAACGTCTCATCATTCAGATGTCTTTATCCATCATGCATAGAGACCACCTCTCCTCTTCATGGTGCAGATAGACGATGAGCTGCTGAGGCATGGAGAGCAGCCAGCCATGCTGATGATGTTATTCAGACAGTTACACACAATTAAAGAGAGCTGACACACCCACGAGGTGTGTGTGTTTGTGCATGGGTATGGGTATGTGTGTGTGAACACTTACCACTGTGCATTCAAGTGGCAGCACAGGTGTGAGGCATTAGTATGCAAATATCGACAAAGAAACAAACCTTACTTTGGCACGACAGGAGAGACAGCAGCAACATTGCCAAACAGCATTTGAATGGAAAGAACCTATTGGAAAGAAAGATGCTTCAGTCTAATTTGTTTATAATGAATGCATGCATTAGCATGCATTTAAACTAATTGAGAAGCGCTAGGCTGACCGAGGCAATTAGCATAAGCAGCAGATGGCACAACTGATAAGTGTTGCTCTTTTCTTCAGGATGAAAGTAAACAAAGTGTAAAAATAGACTGCTCCCCTCCTGCTTTAGATTTAGGTGGTGTTCCAGGTCGTCTTTTAGCAGTCACCCTGCACATCTTCTAAGATTTCTATGTCATGTTAATGTGGTTCCTGCGACGCTAAAACATTTCTCCAGGTGTTGTGAGATCTGATAATCTGAAAAAGATGACCCGGAACACCACCAGAGAGTGTGTGTGCCTGTATGTTTCTCAGGCGTTTTGAGAATCGACAGGTCTAAGACACAGGGTGTGTCCTAAATGGCATCCTATTACTTACATAGTGCACTACTTTTGACCAGAGCCCTATGGGTCCTGGTCAAAAGTAGGCCACTATAAAGGGAATAGGGTACCGTTTGGGACGCAGACTGAGCCTAACCGTTGAGCCTAACCGTTGAGCACTGATCCACCCTGGTCCATCCCATCTGTCAGGACCTTATTATCTCTCCTTCTTACGCAGCCAGGAGTTCATGTAACTGACAACAGTTTAGCTCTGGGTCCTTATGCACCTTGGGCAGATAAATGGGTTTTTTACTTGATCGGCCACATCTTTAGCTGTAGATTAAATTAGCTAGGCTATTGCCTAGCCCTAGTATTTCAAAGAGGCTTGCTGTTTGACTGTTTTTGTTTTGGTTGGTTCTTCGGCCTTTGGGTTTGTGTAAGGCTATTGCAAGACTTATAAATTAACTTATGTGTTGCTAGAAAGGCCTCTGAACATTTTAACCAAATCAGGAAGCATGAGTTCCATACTAACTGATTTCAAACCCTGAAGGCCAAAAGGAGTGTGGTGCGGTGCTCTCTCCCTTCCCTACCTCACCCCAGGGACTCACAGATTATCTTGCTTTCCTTGAGCTCTGAAGGACTAAGCACTAAGCATTTTATACTGAACTAAAATATAAATGCAACATGGAAAGTGTTGGTCCCATGTTTCATGAGCTGAATAAAATAAATTTTCCATATGCACAAAAGGCTTATTTCTCTCAAATGTTGTGCACAAATCTGTTTACATCCCTGTTAGTGAGAATATCTCCTTTGCCAAGATAATCCATCCACCTGACAGGTGTGGCATATCAAGAAGCTGATTAAACAGCATGATCATTACACAGGTGCACCTTGTGCTGGGGACAATAAAAGGCCACTCTAAAATGTGCAGTTTTGTCGCTGCTGATTAGGCTTCCAAGGTAGGTGATGTTCTCAAGATATTCAAGTGCCTCTCCATCGATGGTCATTGGAGGTGTTGGTGGTGTATTAATGCACATGGCTTGGGTCTTCTGAATGTTGATATGGAGAACAGTCTGTTTAGCATACATGCTGAGTCTGACTTCTCCTGGAGGATGATATAGAGACCAGATCATCAGCAAAGTTGAGGTCCTTCTGATGGGAGAAGAGGGTCCACTGGATTCCTCGGGCATGGTCAGATGTTGTTTGATGCATTACACAGTCCATGGTAACAAGAAAAATAACTGGAGAGAGGATGCAGCCTTGTCATACACCAGACTTATCTTGAAATTACTCTGTGAGGGAACTATCAAGAAAGATGCTATATTCAAAGTGTTCATAGAAATTCCCAATGAGGTTGACAATCTTGGGTGGTTTTCCGTAGGCTCCAAGGATCCTCCATAAGCTCTCACGGTGAACACTATCGAATGCCTTCTTGAAATTAATAAAGTTGATGTAGAGGGGTGCATTCCACTCGAGGCAGTGCTCGATGATGTTGTGCAGGGAAAGATCTGGTTGATGCATCCTCTTCCTTTGCAAATCCTGCTTGTTCTTGTCTGAGTTTATCGACTGCAGTGTCACTCCTTTTGAGGAGTATCCTGCAAAAGATTTTGCTGGGGGTGTAGAGGAGTGTTATAACTCGCCAGTTGTCACATTCGCTGAGGTTTCCTTTCTTTGGCAGTTTGACGATAAGGCCTTTTCTCCAGTCTTGTGGTATGACATCGTGCTCCCAGATCTTGCTAAAGAGATCAGTCAGAACCTTGGTAGCTGTGTTGACATCAGCTTTAAGTAGCTCAGCCTGCTGAGAGTCAATCCCTGGTGCTTTGCCACTCTTCATAGCCTTGATGGCTGCTTGGACCTCTGCGTCAACTGGTGGGCCAGTGTCAATACCATCAATCTCACCCGAGGGTGGTGGGTCTGCTGGATCATTAGGCTTTGGCCAGTTGAGGACCTCTTCAAACTGCTGGACCCATCTTGCAGTTTGTTCCTCTTATGTTGTTAACATTTTACCTTGTCTTTGACTGGCATTGTGTGGTTGCTAACTTGGCCAGAGAGCTGTCTTGTGATCTTGCATACAGTGTTTAATTCTCCTCTTGCTGCAGCTTGTTCTGCCTCACTGGCCAATTCCTGGACAAACGCTCTCTTATCCCTTCGAGCACTCTTTTTTTTCTTTGTCCATGGTCTTGTATTCTTGCTGTGCTCACTCAATCAGCCTGGGTGATTCTGCGCTCAGCAGTTTATCTTAGGCCAGCCTTCTCTCATCAATACTGAACAAAAATATAATATAAATGATTTTACTGAGGTACAATTCATATAAGGAAATCAATCAATTGAAATAAATACACTGCTCAAAATAACGGGAACACTAAAATAACACATCCTAGATCTGAATGAATGAAATCTTTCACAAAATCACACAAATTATCAATGGAAATCAAATGTATCAACCCATGGAGGTCTGGATTTGGAGTCACCCTCAAAATTAAAGTGGAAAACCACACTACAGGCTGATCCAACTTTGGTGTAATGTCCTTAAAACAAGTCAAAATTAGGCTCAGTAGTGTGTGTGGCCTCCACGTGCCTGTATGACCTCCCTACAACGCCTGGGCATGCTCCTGATGAGGTGGCGGATGGTCTCCTGAGGGATCTCCTCCCAGACCTGGACTAAAGCATCCGCCAACTCCTGGACAGTCTGTGGTGCAACGTGGCGTTGGTGGATGGAGCGAGACATGATGTCCCAAATGTGCTCAATTGGATTCAGGTCTGGGGAACAGGCGGGCCAGTCCATAGCATCAATGCCTTCCTCTTGCAGGAACTGCTGACACACTCCAGCCACATGAGGTCTAGCATTTTCTTGCATTAGGAGGAACCCAGGGCCAACCGCACCAGCATATGGTCTCACAAGGGGTCTAAGGATCTCATCTCGGTACCTAATGGCAGTCAGGCTACCTCTGGCGAGCACATGGAGGGCTGTGCGGCCCCCCAAAGAAATGCCACGCCACACCATGACTGACCCACCGCCAAACAGGTCATGCTGGAGGATGTTGCAGGCAGCAGAACGTTCTCCACGGCGTCTCCAGACTCTGTCACGTCTGTCACATGTGCTCAGTGTGAACCTGCTTTCATCTGTGAAGAGCACAGGGCGCCAGTGGCGAATTTGCCAATCTTGGTGTTCTCTGGCAAATGCCAAACGTCCTGCACGGTGTTGGGCTGTAAGCACAACCCCCACCTGTGGACGTCGGGCCCTCATACCACCCTCATGGAGTCTGTTTCTGACCGTTTGAGAAGACACATGCACATTTGTGTCCTGCTGGAGGTCATTTTGCAGGGCTCTGGCAGTGCTCCTCCTGCTCCTCCTTGCACAAAGGCGGAGGTAGCGGTCCTGCTGCTGGGTTGTTGCCCTCCTACGGCCTCCTCCACGTCTCCTGATGTACTGGCCTGTCTCCTGGTAGCGCCTTCATGCTCTGGACACTACGCTGACAGACACAGCAAACCTTCTTGCCACAGCTCGCATTGATGTGCCATTCTGGATGAGCTGCACTACCTGAGCCACTTGTGTGGGTTGTAGACTCCGTCTCATGCTACCACTAGAGTGAAAGCACCGCCAGCATTCAAAAGTGACCAAAACATCAGCCAGGAAGCATAGGAACTGAGAAGTGGTCTGTGGTCACCACCTGCAAAACCAGTCCTTTATTGGGGGTGTCTTGCTAATTGCCTATAATTTCCACCTGTTGTCTATTCCATTTGCACAACAGCATGTGCAATTTATTGTCAATCAGTGTTGCTTCCTAAGTGGACAGTTTGATTTCACAGAAGTGTGATTGACTAGGAGTTACATTGTGTTGTTTAAGTGTTCCCTTTATTTTTTTGAGCAGTGTAAATTAGGCCCTAATCTATGGATTTCACATGACTGGGCAGGGGCGCAGCCATGGGTGGGCATGGGAGGGCATAGACCCACCAACTTGGGAGCCAGGCCCAGCCAATCAGAATATGTTTTTCCCCACAAAAGGGCTTTATTACAGACAGAAATACAGCTCCGTTTCATCAGCTGTCCGGGTGACTGGTCTCGGACGATCCCACAGGTGAAGAAGCCAGATGTGGAGGTCCTTGGCTGGCGTGGTTACACGTGGTCTGTGGTTGTGAGGCGAGTTGGACGTACTGCCAAATTCTCTAAAACGACATTGGAGGGGACTTATGGTAGATAAATGAACATTCAATTCTCATGGCAACAGCTCTGGTGAACATTCCTGCAGTCAGCATGCCAATTGCACGCTCCTTCAAAACTTGAGGCATCTGTGGCATTGTGTTGTGTGTCAAAACTGCACATTTTAGAGTGGCCTTTTATTGTCCCCAGCACAAGGTGCACCTGTGTAATGTCCATGTTTAATCCGTTTCTTGATATGCCACACCTGTCAGGTGGATGGATTATCTTGTCTTTTGAAGTTTCAAACATGGTGCGGACAATCCATGCTCCAAGACAGACTGTGGTTTTGGGGCCTGAACTTATCACGGGTGGGGCTTTCATCTGGTCAGTGTTGTGAAAGACAAGTTACACTCAATCTGATGAAAGTTGTCTATTAGGCCTGAAGTAAAGAAGCTTAAGCAATCACCTAGGAGGACAACATCCGCTGCGGAGTAGCTAGTAACCGCGGAGGTACTGGTTGAAAATATATAGGTTACCAGGCCCAAATGACATACAGTGGGGGAAAAAAGTATTTAGTCAGCCACCAATTGTGCAAGTTCTCCCACTTAAAAAGATGAGAGAGGCCTGTAATTTTCATAATAGGTACACGTCAACTATGACAGACAAATTGAGAAAAATAAATCCAGAAAATCACATTGTAGGATTTTTAATGAATTTATTTGCAAATTATGGTGGAAAATAAGTATTTGGTCACCTACAAACAAGCAAGATTTCTGGCTCTCACAGACCTGTAACTTCTTCGTTAAGAGGCTCCTCTGTCCTCCACTCGTTACCTGTATTAATGGCACCTGTTTGAACTTGTTATCAGTATAAAAGACACCTGTCCACAACCTCAAACGGTCACACTCCAAACTCCACTATGGCCAAGACCAAAGAGCTGTCAAAGGACACCAGAAACAAAATTGTAGACCTGCACCAGGCTGGGAAGACTGAATCTGCAATAGGTAAGCAGCTTGGTTTGAAGAAATCAACTGTGGGAGCAATTATTAGGAAATGGAAGACATACAAGACCACTGATAATCTCCCTCGATCTGGGGCTCCACGCAAGATCTCACCCCGTGGGGTCAAAATGATCACAAGAACGGTAAGAAAAAATCCCAGAACCACACGGGGGGACCTAGTGAATGACCTGCAGAGAGCTGGGACCAAAGTAACAAAGCCTACCATCAGTAACACACTACGCCGCCAGGGACTCAAATCCTGCAGTGCCAGACGTGTCCCCCTGCTTAAGCCAGTACATGTCCAGGCCCGTCTGAAGTTTGCTAGAGTGCATTTGGATGATCCAGAAGAGGATTGGGAGAATGTCATATGGTCAGATGAAACCAAAATATAACTTTTTGGTAAAAACTCAACTTGTCGTGTTTGGAGGACAAAGAATGCTGAGTTGCATCCAAAGAACACCATACCTACTGTGAAGCATGGGGGTCGAAACATCATGCTTTGGGGCTGTTTTTCTGCAAAGGGACCAGGACGACTGATCCGTGTAAAGGAAAGAATGAATGGGGCCATGTATCGTGAGATTTTGAGTGAAAACCTCCTTCCATCAGCAAGGGCATTGAAGATGAAACGTGGCTGGGTCTTTCAGCATGACAATGATCCCAAACACACCGCCCGGGCAACGAAGGAGTGGCTTCGTAAGAAGCATTTCAAGGTCCTGGAGTGGCCTAGCCAGTCTCCAGATCTCAACCCCATAGAAAATCTTTGGAGGGAGTTGAAAGTCCGTGTTGCCCAGCGACAGCCCCAAAACATCACTGCTCTAGAGGAGATCTGCATGGAGGAATGGGCCAAAATACCAGCAACAGTGTGTGAAAACCTTGTGAAGACTTACAGAAAACGTTTGACCTGTGTCATTGCCAACAAAGGGTATATAACAAAGTATTGAGAAACTTTTGTTATTGACCAAATACTTATTTTCCACCATAATTTGCAAATAAATTCATAAAAAATCCTACAATGTGATTTTCTGGATTTTCTTTTTTTCTCCACTGTATGTGGGAGCCGCTATGGGCATGCTGTTGCTACTAAAGGCCACACCAAAACAACAACACCCACTGAAAACCCAGGCTGTAGCTAATTGAGATGATTCCATAGCAGTTCTTTTGGCTTGCAGGGTTTTTCTGGATCAAAAATGGGCTTAGCTGGTGGGCGGGGGCAATGGGCCCCAATTTTTGAGGCCCCCATCTTGGCGGTGGAGAGAGTTTTGGTGTTTTTAAAGCAAACTTTCTGCAATTCTACACATTTTGCCATGGAGCTGAGAGAAAATGTGCAGTTTTAAAGCTATTTTTTTCTGCAATTCTATTCTTAAACATAACAAAATCAGTACTCCTGAATTCAGGTGCAAGAACCGCAACGCTGCTGTGTTTTTCACGCTCAACAGTTTCCTGGGTGTAATAAAGAATGGTCCACCACTCAAAGAACATCCAGCCAATTTGACACAACTGGGGGAAGCATTGGAGTCCCTGTGGAACACTTTCGACACCTTGTAGAGTCCATGCTCGACGAATTGAGGCTGTTCATAGGGCAGAAGGGGGTGCATCTTAATATTAGGATGGTGTTCCTAATGTTTTATACACTGTGTATATAGGTCCATTATTTTTTCTACATAAATGGTTTTAGTTGTTAAAGTTTACACTGAAAGTGTTTTTCCATCCCGAAATTGTATTTCATTTTAAATTTGTTAAACTTTCACTTATGCAGAAAAAACCTTGCATATAGCCAAGCTTAGCTTGACCTTAGTTACAATTAATGTGATACTGCCTCATTTAATCAAGTGTTTAGCTAGCGCTAGTAGATGCTTTCTGAAAGCAATAGTGAACCATATCTTTTGTTTTCCATGTTTAGGTAAGATCAAGTACTCAGAGCGCGTGTATGATGCCTGCATGGAAGCCTTTGACTGCCTGCCCCTCGCTGCTCTCCTCAACCAACAGTTCCTGTGTGTACACGGCGGTCTCTCCCCAGAAATCAACTGCCTAGACGACATTAGGAAAGTAAGTCCACCTGGCACCTGATTAGGAAGTGGTGTTTGGAGTCCACATTTGGATGAATTTGGTAGATCTTTTTAAAATCTGTGATCAATCAACTTTCTGTGGCTCACGGTGCTGTGCGTGTGTTTGTGCGCTCCACAGTTAGACAGGTTTAAGGAGCCTCCAGCGTTCGGCCCTATGTGTGACCTGATCTGGGCTGACCCAGGAGAGGACTACGGCAGTGAGAAGACAGCAGAACACTTCAACCACAACTCTGTGCGAGGCTGCTCCTACTTTTTCAGGTATGCTACCTGCTCCATATCAAGGTTTTAGGTAGTTATATGGCCAATAATACTGGCCAATAAGGTCAAATAATACTGTTTGCTACTTGAAGAGCTACTGGAGACCCACCAGGGATAGATCTTTGTTTTAGTGTGTTGCACTATAGGCCCCTGCACTGTCCAGTTTGGGAGTGGACTATAAGGGATTGACCCTAGAAAGTGCCAGTGCATTGTCCATTGTCTCCCCAGCTGTACTAGCCTACAGTGCATTCGGAAAGTATTCAGACCCCTTGACCTTTTCCACATTTTGCTACGTTACAGCCTTACTCTAAAATTGATTAAAAAAAAAAAACTTTTTCCGCATAAATCTACACACAATACCCCATAATGACAAAGCAAAAACAAGTTTTTAGAAATGTTTGCTAATGTATAAAAAATAAAAAACTGATTACATTTACATAAGTATTCAGACCCTTTACTCAGTACTTTGTTGAAGCACCTTTGGCAGCGATTACAGCCTTGAGTCTTCTTGGGTATAACGCTAGTGGCGCAGTGGTCTAAGGCACTGCATCGCAGTGCTAGCTGTGCCACTAGAGATCCTGGTTCGAGTCCAGGCTCTGTCGCAGCCAGCCGCGACCGGGAGTCCCATGGGCAGCGCATAATTGGTCCAGCATCGTCCAAGGTAGGGGAGGGTTTGGCCGGCAGGGATGTGGGTTCGTTTACCACGGGGGGCCAGTATAAAAAAAATAAAAAATAAAACATGTATGCATTCACTAACTGTAAGTCGCTCTGGATAAGAGCGTCTGCTAAATGACTAAAATGTAAATGTACAAGCTTGGCAAACCTGTATTTGGGTAGTTTTTCCCATTCTTCTCTGCAGATCCTCTCAAGCTGTGTCAGGTTGGATGGGGAGCGTCGCTGCACAGCTATTTTCAGGTCTCTCCAGAGATGTTCGGTCGGGTTCAAGTCCGGGGTCTGGCTGGGCCACTCAAGGACATTGAGACTTGTCCTGAAGCCACTCCTGCGTTGTCTTGGCTCTGTACTTAGGGTTGTTGTTCTGTTGGAAGGTGAACCTTCGCCCCAGTCTGAGGTCCTGAGCGCTCTGGAGCAGGTTTTCATCAAGGATCTCTCTGTACTTTGCTCTGTTAATCTTTCCCTCCATCCTGACTAGTCTCCCAGTCCCTGCTGCTGTAAAACATCCCCACAGCATGATGCAACCACCACCATGCTTCAAAGTAGGGTTGGTATTTGCCAGGTGATGAGCGGTGCCTGGTTTCCTCAATCTTGGTTTCATCAGACCAGAGAATCTTGTTTTTGATCCTTTAGGTGCCTTTTGGCCCTTCTCCCCGATCGCTCAGTATGGCCAGGCGGCAAGCTCTAGGAAGAGTCTTGGTGGTTCCAAACTTCTTCCATTAAAGAATGATAGAGGCCACTGTGTTCTTGGGGACCTTCAATGCTGCAGATATGTTTTTGTACCATTCCCCAGATCTGTGCCTCGACACAATCCTGTCTCGGAGCTCTATGGACAATTCCTTCGACCTCAAGGCTTGGTTTTTGCTTTGACATGCACTGTCAAGTGTGGAACCTTATATAGACAGGTGTGTGCGCCTTTCCAAATCATGTCCAACCAATTGAATTTACCACAGGTGGACTCCAATCAAGTTGTAGAAACATCTCAAGGATGATCAATGGAAACAGGATGCACCTGAGCTCAATTTCGAGTCTCATAGGAAAGGGTCTGAATACTTATGTAAAAAAATAAACTGTTTTTGCTTTGTCATTATGGGGTTATTGTGTGTAGATTGATGAGGATTTTTTATTTATTTAATCCATTTTTGAATAAGACTGTAATGTAACAAAATGTGGAAAAAGTGAAGGGGTCTGAATGCACTGTATATCTCTTTCCACTGTTGACTTTTCCAGATGGCATGGGTTTGTGCCACGCTAACCAAATGCAGGTGGCCCGCTAATTGCCCGAGCAGTCTTTGATGAGAGGTGGAGTAGGCTGGCGGGGTCATTGTAGAGACCCAAGTAAAAGCCAGGCAGCCAGCAGCCACATAGATGGGCTACTTCCCAAATGGCACCAAATTGCCTATATAGTGCACTACCTTCGGCTGTGGCCCATAGGGCTCTGGTCAAGGTAGTGCACTGTTTAGGGAATAGGGTGCCATTTGGGATTCACACCAAGTCTGCTCTCCTGTGGCTATGGCCATGGCCTACTGGCCTTCTGGCTGCCTCTGGAGCAGCTATAAGAGTCCATAAATACCAAAGCCCTCCCTGGCATTGTTCTGCTCTGGCCTCAGTGGTTCAATTAAACCCTCCCTACCTCCCAGGCCAGAGAGCAAGAGACTGACAGGGATTCAAAATGTATTTCCAAAAGTAAAGAACAGCCAGAAAATGCTTCTGATGGCAACACGCTGTTCCTCAAAGAATTTCCGTCATATCTCACACTGCATGGTTGCCAGACTGACTCTGAGGTCGAGATTTTTTTTACAAGCTTTAACCTCACTCCTCTGGCTGTTCTAATAGGCAGTTTTTCTCTCTCTCTTGCCTTGCAGTTACCCGGCAGTATGTGACTTTTTGATCAATAATAACTTGTTGTCGGTAATAAGAGCACACGAAGCACAGGATGCAGGGTAAGTTTCACTGTTTACAGAGTCATTTACCATATACATTTAATTAACTGTATAACAGATTATTTTTAATTTTTTTGTGAGGCGAGCAAGTACCCCTTGTAATAATATTAAACAACCTTAGTAATGCACTTAGCGACCTCATCAAGAAATTTTAGCATTTTGGTATTGTAGTGAACGGCGAGGCAGGAAATAGAACCTGGGTTGCTGGCGTGAAAGGCAAACACCCTACACATCGCACCAATAGGGTAAATCTACTTGGTAGGAATTGTAAAGTGGCTCATATAGCAACACTGCCCTTTTTCCGAACGGGAAGGCACGTCCCCGCGCTTCGACTACTCAGCACCCTAGTACATCCTGGCAATGCGTTCCGATGCCCTCACAGCCGCCTTCCCACTTTTGGCACAAATGTAACAAATGGCGGGGCAGGGAATCGAAACCGTGTCGCTGGCGTGAAAGGCCAGAGGGTAAAGCCTCTTGGTGGGAATTGTAACGTTGCTCATATAGCGAGGATCATGACAGTATAATGGTTTTGGAATGACAGTCACAGGGACAAGGGTTTGAGTCTCAGTCAGGGTACCCCACTACATCCACTAACCCAGTTGAGTTTTAGTCACAGATGCATAGATCTACCATATTTAATAATTGATGTGCTGATGATAGCAGTCTACTAAAGTAATCAGACCTATTCTTACTATACTTTACTGAACTGCTTCAGTTTCTGCTTGAACTATTTAGCTTGAATTCTAAATTTAACACATCTCCCACTACCATACAAATAATATGGCTGAAGCAAGCACACTCATTTTCTTCTGGGAATGTACCTATTCTATAGTACCCCTTTAATTTAACTGCCACCTAGCAAGAGACCATTGTGTTACTATTAGCAGAAATTCAGGCTAGCTGTGTTTCTGTAACATGATGGCAGAGTTTGTTAAACAAATTTGCACCCGATTGATACAAATCATAATGATATCATTCTGTAAGGTAGGCCTACTTTGCATTCAACATTTAATTGTTTTTTTAAGAATAACCTTTAGAAACTACTCTTTTGGCATGCTTTTCAAAATCGCAGATTTTATAGGGCCATATACTGTATCATACCTTTAGAAGTGTTTACCTCATGCTGACTTCTAGTTGGTGCAATGCTCCATACATTGCATGTCCAAATCAATTTAAAGTTTCTACAAAATAAGTTTTGCAGCGACAACAATCTATAAGGCTACAGCTAACATGTTTTCCTTTCACTGTTTGCGATTCGCAAATTATTATTAGATTCCCATGATTCGATTCACCGCGATTGAACAGAACCCTAACTACTACAATGGCAAAGCGAATCATTCGATTTCTCAAAAAGGATTGTTTAAAATAATCGTTTCATATTAATTAAATGAATCGCTCAATTATTGTATATATTTTTTTACTATTTTGAGAGATGTGAAGCGGGGGAATCTGTTGTACAGTGCATTACATTTGTATGGCCTTACAAAAAAAATTGTTTTGCTCTCTCTTCACCATTTTTTTTTCTCAAACTAAAGTAATTTTGTGTCTCGTCCCAGGTACCGGATGTACAGAAAAAGCCAGACTACAGGCTTTCCTTCATTAATTACAATCTTCTCAGCACCAAATTACCTAGATGTATACAACAACAAAGGTTTGTGTACTCTTTATATCATGACCGTGATGTGTTTTATGCATAGTGTAGTACGTGCCTTTGTGCTGTTGTATAGAGCCAATTTCTGTTTACCATCAAACGTCACGTTCGAGTGATGCGCACATCCCTACATCAAAAATCTCTGATGTCGTGACCCTGACAAACTTCTTGTGAGTGAGTGAAGACAATGAAAACACTCAAGACTGGTGGCTATAGCTATGTTCAACAAGTATATTATTCTTCTGGCTTTATCTATCTCTATTTGAGATATTTTACCTTGTGTTGCTGGCTTGCTAGGTAATTAACACTTTTGAAGAGATCTGCGATGTTGTACAGTGAGGGAAAAAAGTATTTGATCCCCTGCTGATTTTGTAATTTTGCCCACTGACAAAGAAATGATCAGTCTATAATTTTAATGGTAGGTTTATTTGAACAGTGAGAGACAGAATAACAACAAAAAAATCCAGAGAAACGCATGTCAAAAATGTTATAAATTGATTTGCATTTTAATGAGGGAAATAAGTATTTGACCCCTCTGCAAAAACATGACTTAGTACTTGGTGGCAAAACCCTTTTTGGCAATCACAGAAGTCAGATGTTTCTTGTAGTTGGCCACCAGGTTTGCACACATCTCAGGAGGGATTTTGTCCCACTCCTCTTTGCATATCTTCTCCAAGTCATTAAGGTTTCTAGGCTGACGTTTGGCAACTCAAACCTTCAGCTCCCTCCACAGATTTTCTATGGGATTAAGGTCTGGAGACTGGCTAGGCCACTCCAGGACCTTAATGTGCTTCTTCTTGAGCCACTCCTTTGTTGCCTTGGCCGTGTGTTTTGGGTCATTGTCATGCTGGAATACCCATCCACGACCCATTTTCAATGCCCTGGCTGATGGAAGGAGGTTCTCACCCAAGATTTGACAGTACATGGCCCCGTCCATCGTCCCTTTGATGCGGTGAAGTTGTCCTGTCCCCTTAGCAGAAAAACACCCCCAAAGCATAATGTTTCCACCTCCATGTTTGACAGTGGGGATGGTGTTCTTGGGGTCATAGGCAGCATTCCTCCTCCTCCAAACATGGCGAGTTGAGTTGATGCCAAAGAGCTCCATTTTGGTCTCATCTGACCACAACACTTTCACCCAGTTCTCCTCTGAATCATTCAGATGTTCATTGGCAAACTTCAGACGGGCATGTATATGTGCTTTCTTGAGCTCTGCAGGATTTCTGTCCTTCACGGCGTAGTGTGTTACCAATTGTTTTCTTGGTGACTATGGTCCCAGCTGCCTTGAGATCATTGACAAGATCCTCCCGTGTAGTTCTGGCTGATTCCTCACCGTTCTCATGATCATTGCAACTCCACGAGGTGAGATCTTGCATGGAGCCCCAGGCCGAGGGAGATTGACAGTTCTTTTGTGTTTCTTCCATTTGCGAATAAACGCACCAACTGTTGTCACCTTCTCACCAAGCTGCTTGGAGATGGTCTTGTAGCCCATTCCAGTCTTGTGTAGGGCTACAATCTTGTCCCTGATCCTTGGAGAGCTCTTTGGTTTTGGCCATGGTGGAGAGTTTGGAATCTGATTGATTGATTGCTTCTGTGGACAGGTGTCTTTTATACAGGTAACAAGCTGAGATTAGGAGCACTCCCTTTAAGAGTGTGCTCCTAATCTCAGCTCGTTACCTGTATAAAAGACACCTGGGAGCCAGAAATCTTTCTGATTGAGAGGGGGTGAAATACTTATTTCCCTCATTTAAAATGCAAATCAATTTATAACATTTTTGACATGTGTTTTTCTGGATTTTTTTGTTGTTATTCTGTCTCTCACTGTTCAAATAAACATACCATTAAAAATATAGATTGATAATTTCTTTGTCAGTGGGCAAACATACAAAATCAGCAGGGGATCAAATACTTTTTTCCCTCACTGTAGATGATAACCATCTGATTACGTGTTTGTTAACTTGCATGAACTGCATTTGAAGTTGCATGTGATCGTATCCACTTCCATGTGAACAAACTTTGCACATGCACGTGCAACTTTTCATGACGGGGCCGGGAAATGGGTCTATAGCTGTTTTGTCTGCTGGCTGGCATACACCCACAGGTCAGGTTTCAGAAATCTGGGATTGACATTCCTGTCCCTTCTGTGTCTGGCCTTTCTGCCCCTCCAGGTCCACTTGGGCTGTCCCCAAAATATGACAACAATTGGCTAGTATTTTTGCCAGTGATACTAACTTGATCATTCTTTTGTTCTTTACATCTCGCTCCAACTTCCAGCTGCTGTATTAAAGTATGAAAACAATGTGATGAACATTCGGCAGTTTAACTGCTCCCCCCACCCCTACTGGCTGCCCAACTTCATGGACGTCTTCACCTGGTCTCTGCCCTTTGTTGGAGAAAAAGGTATGTATGTGCTCCCCGTCCATATCGGTGTTATGTCAGAGTGAAGAACGTGCCAGTAGAATGCCAGGAATGAGCATTGGAACATTGTAGCAAGAGACGGGTGTGTTTTGGTGTTAAAAATGCAACCACAAAAAAAACAATAGTCTGCACCCAAAAAGATGGTGGTGGTGCTACCTGAGTTGTGGTGGTACCTCTCTTCTCCCCATAGTGACAGAGATGCTGGTGAATGTGCTGAACATCTGCTCGGATGATGAACTCATGTCAGAAGGAGACGACCTGTGTGAAGGTAAGACGAACAGCCAGGATTGAATGAGGCACATTAACACCCCCGTGCCCCCCCAACTCCACATTATCACTAGTGTTAAGAAGGTAAAGCTGGTAGCTTCATTTTTCATTAAAGCTGGTTTATCCACAGCATGACATAACAGCTCTGTCAGACACACACACACAGACAGTCTCTCTCATGATCTAGAAGATCTCAGGACTCCCTAGAGATCTGACGGCGCTCAACTCGACATTCCACTGTACGCTCCTCTCCTTTACTCCGCTCCTCTCCTTTACTCCGCTCCTCTCCTTTACTCCGCTCCTCTCCTTTACTCCGCTCCTCTCCTCTCCTTTACTCCGCTCCTCTCCTTTACTCCGCTCCTCTCCTTTACTCCGCTCCTCTCCTTTACTCCGCTCCTCTCCTTTACTCCCCTCTGCTTCCCTCCTTTTCTCCTCTTTACTCTCCTTTCTTCCCTCTGTTCCCTTATCTCATTTTTTCTCCTTCCTCTCCTCTATGATGTTTTCGGACTATTTCAAGCAGTAGAAAGCATTATAATGCCCAACCAAATGCTTAGAATATTTTATTGTTTTATTTTATGAGAAGACGGTGGAATCCCAGCAGTGCGCAAGGAGGTGATCCGGAACAAGATCCGAGCCATCGGGAAGATGGCCAGAGTCTTCTCTGTTCTCAGGTGAAAAAGCCTTTCGCTCTCTCCCACTCGTCATCACACATGACAGCATAAAGGCTGACCCAAATGGCACACTATTCCTTATATTTATTTATTTATTTAACCTTTATTTAACTTGGCAAGTCAGTTAAGAACAAATTCTTATTTACAATGATGGCCTACACCGGCCAAACCCAGAAGACACTGGGCCAATTGTGCGCCGCCCTATGGGACTCCCAATTATGGCCGGTTGTGATACAGCCTGGAATCGAACCAGGGGGTCTGTAGTGACGCCTCAAGCACTGAGATGCAGTGCCTTAGACCACTGCGCCACTCGGGAGCCCAATGGTTCCCGAGGGGCATATGGCTCTGGTCAAAAGTTGTCACTATAGGGAATAGGTTGCCGTTTTGGACCAAACCATACTGAAAAGGGAAAGTCAGACTTGGAGTGAATGGAGCAGAGGGGGATGGGAATAGAGTCTCTATTTTTAATTGACACTAAAGTGAGTCTAGTTTATGAAATGAGTGAAGTCAGTTTGAAAGTGCACAGTGAAGTCGTCTTTGAAAACACAGTGCTGCTTTTCCATAAGGATTCATGAGCAGGCAACCGTGAGTCACGATGCAGCACACGGTGAGGCTGCATAATGACATTAGACATGATTCCAGATTAATGCTGTGTGCTGTGGTTATTAGCCTGCCACACAAATGCAATGGGGAAAGGGAGATGTAGCTCAGCACAGAGATCCTATAATTCAAGTGTGTTCTCAATGTAGGCCTATTTCTATATAGAGCAGTCTCTTTTTCACGGTGGCCCATATACAGAGATATCATGGGATGCTACAGGAGCTGTTTTAACATATGTAGTTACCGAAAGCTTTGTTAGATCTCTAAGGTGTTTGTGTCTCTCTCACCTTCTCTCTTTCTTTCTTCAGGGAGGAGAGTGAGAGTGTGCTGACACTCAAAGGACTGACCCCCACTGGGTCGCTGCCTCTAGGAGTGTTGTCAGGGGGCAAAGAGACCTTGCATACCGGTACGTGTCTCTCTCCCCCTCCTCACCCCCTCAAACTCCCCTCTCCTCCCTCACCCTGCTGTCTCCATCTTTCTCTCTCTCTTTGATGCCCCCCTCACCACCCATTCCCCATGCCCTACCATCACAGAGGTCCCTGGGGTGCCATTAACACTGCCGTTCTCCCTGGACTAACAACACAGGCTTTCCCCAACCACACGGTAAACTGAAGGATGTACGCTTCACTAAATGTTTTTCAGTTTTTACATTTCATTATCAAGAAAACATCATAGACCCTGCTCTTCTGCTTTCCGTTTTCCATTATACAGTTGAGATGGAAACTATCACTGCCACTGAAGCCTACATATGGGACGCAACCTTTGTCTGTCTGGGGCTCTGTGTCAAGCCAGCCGTCCCCTTTGGGTAGTAGCCTCGAAAACCCGACCCGAGGCAACACAGAGACTGGTTTCAATGATGGACTCTTTTGGCATAGAGGAACTACGTCACCCTACTCTATATATAGTGCAATACTTTTGACCATTGCCTATAGGGCAATTGTCTGTTACTGCGTCCCAAAATAAACAGACAGTCATTCTGGTAAAGGTCATGTCATGTGGTTTCTGTCCGAAATGGCATCCTATTCGCAATAGAGTGCACTACATTTGACCAGAGCCCTATAGGCAATGGTCAGAAGTATTGCACTATATATAGAGTAGGGTGCCATTTAGGGGACACACCCTGTGTCTGTCAGCCCCTCAAGTCAGATGTGTGTTCTGGTTCATTACATCCCCTGTTTGTTGTTTCTCTTCACTGCTTCCTAACAGTGCTCTAGTGACATTTAGGGGGATGCTGTCCAGTTTTGACTGCAGTGCCAGTGCTCTTTAAAAACCTGCCATGCCAAACTAAGAAGGGAAATGCCTTACCCTAGCTATTTCTATTCCACTCCTTCTAAGATGTTTTATTATCACATACACCGGATAGGTGCATAGAAAAATGCCTTGCTCAAGGGCACATCGACCGTTATATATATATTTTTATATGGTGAATATAAAAATATATATATATAACGGTCGATGTGCCCTTGAGCAAGGTATTTGGGTATTAGAACCAGCGACTTTTCGGTTACTGGCCCAACACTCTAACCGCTAGGCTACCTGCCGCCTGTATGACTATAACAAATGAAAGATGGTCTTATAGCTAGATTCACCACCAGAGTTATTCTGTGAGTGACACCAGTAACAAAGCACCTCATTAAGAACAAGTCGAATAGAAAGATTAAAGCTGTCATCATCACATGTGTGTTCCTTTGAAAACTGAGCCTAAGCAGACTTCATTATGACAATGTTGTGAGACGTAGTGAGGTGCCTTTATTGACTTCACAGGAAATCAGTTCCCTTCTCCTCCCAGCAGACTTCATCATTCGATTATGTTCCCATAACAAGATCCAGAATAACCCTATATAAGAAGCATGTGTGTGTGTGCTCACTGCTCAGCAAAATCCCCCTCATCTCTCCGTCCACATCTAAGCCCTAATGACCCTTTAACACCAGCAAGCACCATCTTAAGGTCTCCAGCAGGCCTCTCTCACTCTGGTTGTGTCCCAAATAATACTCTATTCCTAGGGAATTCCTAAGGGAATAAAGTGCCATTAGGGATGCGGACGATTTTATCACACTGAAAACAGATTGAGAACCTTCCAGAAGGACAACCATCTCTCCAGCACTCCACCAATCAGGCCTTTATGGTAGAGTGGCCAGATGGAAGCTACTCCTCAGTAAAAGGCACATGACAGCCCGCTTGGAGTTTGCCAAAAGGCACCTAAAGACTCTCAGACCATGAGAAACAAGATTCTCTGGTCTGATGAAACCAAGATTGAACTATTTGGCCTGAATGCCAAGCATCACATCTTTAGGAAACCTGGCACCATCCCTACGGTGAAGCATGGTGGTGGCAGCATCATGCTGTGGGGATGTGTTTCAACGGCAGGGACTGAGAGACTAGTCAGGATCGAGGCAAAGATGAACGGAGCAAAGTACAGAGAGATCTTTGATGAAAACCTGCTCCAGAGCGCTCAGGACCTCAGGCGAAGGTTCACCTACCAACAGGACCACGACCCAAAGCACACAGCCAAGACAATGCAGTAGTGACTTTGGGACATGTCTCTGAATGTCCTTGAGTGGCCCAGCCAGAGTCCGGACTTGAACCTGATCGAACATCTCTGTAGAGACCTGAAATTAGCTGTGCCGCAACGCTCCCCATCCAAGCTGACAGAGCTTGAGAGGATCTGCAGAGAAGAATGGGAGAAACACCCGAAATACAGGTGTGCCAAGCTTGTAGCGTCATACCCAAGAAGACTCGAGGCTGTAATCGCTTCCAAAGGTGCTTCAATAAAGTACTGAGTGAAGGGTCTGAATACTCATGTAAATGTGATATTTCATTAAATTAAATTAACACTTTTTGCTTTGTCATTATGGGGTATTATGTGTAGATGATGAGGGGGGGAAACTATTTAATCCATATCTATTGTATAATAAGGCTGTAATGTAACATAATGTGGAAAAAGTCAAGGGGTTTGAATACTTTCCGAATGCACTGTAAGCACCCCCTAATTCTATATTATTATCATTATAATTATTCCTGTCCTCTGTCTGTCAGGGCTGTTTTTCTCCTGCCTGCCTGTGTTTTCTCTGATTGTGATGATGGTAATGGGGGATCTCTGACAATGGGGGATCTCATCTATGATTGGTTGGTTGGATGATTCGGACTGTCTGTTCTGTGATTGATGATCTCTGGTTCTCTGCATTGATGACTCGCTTTTCTCCTTCTCACCACTACTCACATTTACATAGCCGCCGCTGAGGCAGCGGAGGCAAAAGGTACGCAAGCGGTCCCTGGATCCCTCCCTCAGTGTGTTGTTACTTTTAACCATTCCAATGAAAGGAGGGCCCCTCCTTTCATTTTTTATGCACTCCTGTTGTCTCTTTTTAAATGTTCCTTTTGTTATTGTTGTTGTACATTCACTGTGTGTGTTTGATTTGTGAATTTTGTCATGGATTGGTGTACTTCACAAAATTGCTGCTCTTGCATTACCAGTGCCTGCTACTAGTGTACATACATGATAGGACTCAAATACCCAAGCAGTGGGCACTCCATTTGGCAGGAAGGACTTTAGCTTAAACCTCAACATGCACCGTATAGTGACATTATTCCTTGGTCCTAGGGGAATTACACAATGTTGACCATGATAACATAGGGGCAAAGCCTAATCACAGTCTTCACAGATAGGCTACAGATATAGATACTGATACTGTTGACAAACAGCTATAGGCAGAGGTCATATGGGTGAGAGCCGAGATAGCTAGGTTCATTGCCACTGCTGCATGCAGCTCGTCCCTGAGCAAAGCCAGCTAAGACTCTGCTAGCCTAGGGAGGACCTCCCTCCTCCTCCTGGCTATCCAGGGATATTTTCAGAGTCTAATCCTGTTACGCTGCTTGGCTGTTGCTACTCTGTCACTGTCTGCTTCTGTTGGCATGTTACTGTTTTAGCACTTTGATCGCATGCACATTTGGAGTAGTAATAGGTAGTTTGGTTTCTGTCCTAATATGATATTTTGTTGATATCAGAGCATGTTTTATAGCAGGGGTGTCAAACTAATTTTGGCCCGGGGCCCGTATTCGATCTTCAACGAGGTTCTGAGGGGCCACACTGAAAATGTGTTATTTCCTCGCTGTCCAAATTTGCTAAAGATAGTCATCTAGCCATGGATTTTAGAATTTCTGATGCTCCCTGACTGTCTGACTTTCATTTAGGTGATTATTAGCGAGCTGGACACGTTCAAGAAAATTTATGAATGTAGGTCAATTATAATTTCTACACAGTTTAGATTAGTTATTTTTTACTCAAACCACCTGCAGGCCGGATTGGAGACACCCCTGTTTTATAGCCACCTATTAAAGCTGCAATATGTAACTTTTTGGGCAACCTGACCAAATTCACATAGAAATCAGAGTTATGGATCTGTCATTCTCATTGAAAGCAAGTCTAAGAAGCGATAGATCTGTTCTATGTGCGCTATATCTAGGCTTCCAGATGAGTTTTTTGCGTGTTTTACTTTCGGTTTTATAAATCAGCTGAAAATACTATATTTTTGGTTATGGAAGAGATATTGCACAACAGTTTAGATGGTACAATGATTATCTACAATATACTTGCTTGTTTTGTCACAAACTGAAATTAGGCAACTATTAGAATTTTTTGCAATTTTAGATTTCTGCATAGTGCACCTTTAAGTACACCTAATGTTTGCTTTGCAATGATACATTTCTCATTAACAAACCAACTAACTTTATATGTTATTTAAAATTGCAGATCTGTTTTCTATGAGTGCAGTTTCGTTGATCACATTATCCTATTATCAACTGTAAAACGTCCATATTTTGCTCTTATTCTAAATGTTTGCGTTATTGATTTTTTAGTTGAATAGTTACTTACAGTATATCTCACATTTGCCCATGTTTTCTTTGTGGTTTTTACTTGGCACTTGGAATTTTACAGTAAGTCCCATATTCACTGTGAGGTGTTGTACTGTAGCTTGTTCAGTGGTATTGCCAACAGTACTAGGACTTGCTGTGTTTCTGTGTATTCACCGTACGTACATCTGTTGTATGACTGTACTGTTTGTTTAAGGACTGTCAGCTATTACCTGCATTTGTAAGCATAAGAACCTGGAGTTTACTAAAGACACACTACCGTTCAAAAGTTTGGGGTCACTTAGAAATGTCCTTGTTTTCGAAAGAAAAGCATGTTTTTTGTCCATTCAAATAACATCAAATTGATCAGAAATACAGTGTAGACATTGTTAATGTTGTAAATGGCTATTGTAGCTGGAAACTGCTGATTTTTAATGGGATATCTACATAGGCGTACAGAGGCCCATTATCAGCAACCATCAGTCCTGTGTTCCAATGGCGCGTTGTGTTTGCTAATCCAAGTTTATCATTTTAAAAGGCTAATTGATCATTAGAAAACCCTTTTGCAATTATGTTAGTACAGCTGAAAACTGTTGTGCTGATTAAAGAAGCAATACAACTGGCCTTCTTGAGACTAGTTGAGTATCTGGAGCATCAGCAAATGTGGGTTTGATTACAGGATCAAAATGGCCAGAAACAAATAACTTTCTTCTGAAACTCGTCAGTCTATTCTTGTTCTTAGAAATGAAAGCTATTCCATGCAAACTGGCTCTAACCAGAATAGAAAGAGGAGTGGGAGGTCCCGGTGCACAACTGAGCAAGAGGACAAATAAATTGGTGTCTAGTTTGAGAAACAGACGCCTCACAGGTCCTCAACTGGCAGCTTCATTAAATAGTACCCGCAAAACACCAGTCTCGACGTCAACAGTGAAGAGGCGACTCCGGGATGCTGACCTAGGCAGAGTTGCAAAGGAAAAAGTCTGGTGTCTGTGTTCTTTTGCCCATCTTAATCTTTTATTTTTATTGGCCAGTCTGAGAAATTGCTTTTTCTATGCAACTCTGCCTAGAAGATCAGCATCCCGGAGTCGCCTCTTCACTGTTGATGTTAATTGCAAAAGGGTTTTCTAATGAGCAATTAGCCTTTTAAAATGATAAACTTGCATTAGTAAACACAATGTGCCATTGGAACACAGGACTGATGGTTGCTGATAATGGGCCTCTGTACGCCTATGTAGATATTCCATTAAAAATCAGACGTTTCCAGCTACAATAGCCATTTACAACATTAACGATGTCTACACTGTATTTCTGATGAATTTGGTGTTATTTTAATGGACAAAAAAATTGCTTTTCTTTCGAAAACAAGGACATTTCGAAGTGACCCCAAACTTTCGAAAGGTAGTGTACAATTTGACACAATAAAGGCAAAACAAATGGGTTAATTTTGCAGTTTTTACCTGAAGATCCTTATTGCAGATCCTTAAAAGAGATGGCTAACTGTTTTTCCCAAACATTTTCAAGTTGAAGCATTCAAAGCATTGTTTCCTTTGATTTCTAATTGTCCATCTCTTTTCTTCCTTCCAGCTATTCAAGGCTTCTCTCCCACGAGGAAGATCAAGGACTTTGCGGAGGCACAGAGCCTGGACAAAGTCAACGAGAGGATGCCCCCACGCAAGGATGGCCAGCAGCCGGTCAACCCAAACGCCCCCAAGAACGGCACAGGCTAGGCCTGGAGATTGACCCCCCACCAGGCCATGGCCCTGTCTCATACACCAAAACGATCTTTATATCTTCTTTCTCTCTCTCTCTATCTATCTCTCTATCTCTATCTCTATCTTATCTATCTTATCTATCTTATCTATCTTATCTATCTATCTCCCTCTCTGTCCTATTGTGACTCTGCACCCTGCTGGCCTATACAGTTGGACAAGCACAGGACATGTAGGTAGGAAAGACACCACCGCACTGGGAGAATGGTTTCAGCCACCACCGAGCACAACCATGAAAAAAACTAAAACCTATTTTATTTATTAAATTAATTATATTAGATATATTATGTAATGCTACAATTTTAATGAAAGCATACATTTCTAAGATGTTCAAATAAGCATATAACTATGGTAAATGTCAAAGATAAAGACCATTTTGTAAATTTGAGTTGATCGAGGAAGCTAGTAAAATTTGTCAATTCAAGTTTTTCTATTGTTCTTTTATGTGTTTTGCAAAGGAAAGTTGACTGAATCTACAGATATCTACAGTATGTGTGCTCACATACATGTTTGTCCATTTAAAGAATATTATGATGTGTATTAAATGGAGAGAAAGTAATGAAGGGAAAGATTTGACACCATTGCAGAAGATTAGTTTATAGTAAAACAGTTTTTTAGTTTTGTTCTTTTGTCCAATTTCTTTGGTAAAAACCTAGAAATCACTGAATGCTATTTATGCTGCTTTGGGTCAACGTGTTGCTCCTATATTTTAAAGTTAGGTTAAACAGGATTTCATTTGACAACCTTTAGTCAATCCTTGAGAAACTGCCTAGAATTTCCAAATGATTTGTCAAAGAATGGAGAAAAAAAAATGAATGTATCCTAGTTTGCTGCGATCATTGATGTGATGTATCAATGGATGGTGATTTGTTTTTGTAGTTTTATGTGTTTTGGATAGTGTTTTGATAGTTGGTGTTGTTTGCAGGCTGTCAACAACCAACAGTTACTACCAGTGTGTTTAACTGAGGTCGGGGGGGGGGGGGGGATAATATATACACTGTGTGTACATAACGTTAGGAACACCTTCCTAATATTGAGTTGCACTCCCTTTTGCCTTCAAAACAGCCTCAATTCGTCGGGGCATGGACTCTACAAGGAGTTGAAAGCGTTCCACAGGGATGCAGGCCAATGTTGACTCCAATGCTTCCCACAGTTGTCAAGTTGGCTGGATGTCCTTTGGGTGGTGGACCATTGTTGATACACACGGGAAACTGTTGAGCGTGAAAAACCCAGCAGTGTTGCAGTTCTTGACACACTCAAACCGGTGCGCCTGGCACCTACTGCCATACCGCGTTCTATCCATGTCTTTGTTGTCTCAAGGTTTAAAAATCCTTCTTTAACCTGTCACCTCCCCTTCATCTACACTGATTTGAAGTGGATTTACAAGTGACTTCAATAAGGGATAATAGCTTTTACCTGGATTCACCTGGTCAGTTTGTCATGGAAGAGCAGGTGTTCCTAATGTTTTGTACACTCAATGTACATATTCTGCAAAACCAAAGTCTGATTCAAAAGGGATATAGGCCGACAGTATTTATTGGTTTAGCTCCAAGAAGACAGCCACCAGTACCTTGGGTGTGTGGTGCCCCCATTTGGTTAGATTTTCTGTGACATTGAGTGGAGAGCGGCCTACTGTTCTTGAGAGTAATGTGCTGGATGTGGAATGAAGAAAGTCATTATGGTTCATGGTGAAGAAACATACTAAACACAAGGGAAGAACAACCAGTAGTGTCCTCTTCTCAATGCCCTCCGTGACAAGATGGTGGATAAATCTTTCCCATGGAGCAAATGGTAACGCAGCGGATATTATGTCCCAAAATGAGCTGAAGCTCCATCGTGTTCATTATGTTATGTTTTAGATAATATAAATAATAATGACGCTTAGTTTGATTTCATATTGCTTTCTTGTCAACTCTACATAAAGGAAATATTTTGGGCGTTTCTTGATAAAAGCTGTGTCGATGTCTCCATCTACTGTTGATTTGATGCAGATGCGTTCGACGACTGCAGTGTGGTAAATGTAAGGGAAAGCTGGTCTCCAATTCAATGTTTTAGTTGCTCACAGTTTGAGGAAAGCAGTACCCTGAAGAGTAGTGTATTGAGTCATTCAGTGTGATGCTGTGAAGATTGATGTTATGGGAATTTCCATTCTCTTTAGCGGCTCTTTGACCATCCTGTAGTATTATCTCTCCCTAGACACAGTTTTCACTATCTGTGGTAGAGCAAAGCTGGGGAGCCTACAGTGTCTCTACATTGATCATGTAGTAATGTCTGTTTCTTCTAAATTAATTTGATTGTGAGTATTATATGGTCTTAACACCTTTTGGTACATAGTAATTGTTCCTCCATGGCAGGAACTGACACTACTTTTGTAACACCCGCTCTCAACCCTTTAAGAATTGACTGGATTCTTTAGGACTTGACTCAATGAACCGGTGCTTAGTTTTAGCCCTAGATTTTTGGGGGCTAGAACTGCTTCTCTGACACTCCTGCCATCGCGCCACATGTAGTTATTCTATCGTGTTTTATCATTCAAGAAAAGCTTTAAGATTTTTATTCTCATGTGAATTTTCCCTTTTATAATATATATTGTAAGGCTTTTAAACGAGTTGCATTCAATGTGCCATGCCACTACCAAAACATACACCAACACCTGTGTGTGACTGGTGGGGAGAAGGGACATCAGAATGTCCCATTCTTGTGTTCAGCAGTGGTCATGGAGAGATCTTGGAGCCTGTTTCAACTCAACATGGGTCAGGTTCATTTGAGTTGTGTCACGGCCCAGATGCTTTTGTTTGTATTTAAAAATGTGATTGGTTTCTCTTTACTGTATTGTGTTCAGAAAACTGTCAAAAGATGCTCTTTGAAAATAGATGTTCTTTTTTTTTTCACATTCACAACTGATTTAAATGTTGGTGTTGTGTGAGATGCTAGGAGTTAGGGGAAGTACAGGCCCCGTAGGAGGGCTGTATTTCTCACCTCTTGTCAGTTTCTAAACATATCTCGAAGAATGTACAAAAATATTTGTAATTAAAGTCTCTTAATAGCTGTAAAAAGGATGAGAAATCATTGTCAAGTACAGTGCTTGTCATGCGAGGCCATAATCTTGATCTATGTAGATGTATCACTTAAAAAATAAAATGTAAATGCAAAGAATTTCTTGGTCTCCCTGTCGTGGCTGTCTGAGGTTTTTAGCTCTGCAGATTTGAGGATATTGTGCCAGATGCTTTCTCGCTTCAATTGCTCATGTTAGGCCTACATTCTAGCCTCTCTTGATCTGAATTATACTACATGTTGCTAATATATTTTCTCTACACGTCCGGTTGAATGGGTGGATGCATGAATCATTGTGTACTCTGGGAGACTTCAGTGTCTAAATGTTGCACCCTGAATAGTTGTTTATAAATATAATTCTACATAAACAGGACAGTAGTGTCAAAAATAAAACATTTTAGTATTCAGACCCCTTGGATTTCTGATTTTTTAAAATCAATAAAATACTCTGTAAAAGTGGAACATTTCAGCCCCTTTCTTTAGTCAAGCCTAAATTAGTTCAGGGGTCAAATTTGGCTTAGCAAATCACAAGTTACAATAATAGGGGTTAACATGATTTTGGAATGACTAACCCTTCCTCAGTCCCCCATACATACATCTTAAGATTCAACTACAAAGACCAGGGAGCTTTTAGAAATCTTTAAAGAAGGGCAGTGATTGGTAGATGGGTAACTAACAAATCAGACATTGAATATCTCTTTATAGCATGGTTGTTTATAATTATGCTGTGGATTATGTGTTAAATCACCCAGATACATAGTCGTCCTTCTGAACTGAGCTGCAGGACAGGAATGAAACTGCTCAGGGATGTTTTGAAAACAGCTACAGAGTTCAATGGCTGTGATGGGAGAAAACATTGTAGTGACTCAACAATAATGACAGAGTAAAAAGAATACAAATATACAGAATATTAATATTCCAAAACATGCATCTTGTATGCAACAAGGCGCTAAAGTAAAACAGAAAAAAATAAAACTGCAAAGGAATACACTTTTTGGCCTAAATGCAAAGCCTTATGTTTGGGGTAAATCCAACAGCATCACTAACTGCCGCCTCATTTTCAAGCATGGTGGTGGGTGCATCATGTTATGGGTATGCTTGACAAATACTGGGGAGTTTTTCAGGATAAAAAGAAACGGGATGGAGCTAAGCACAGGCAAAATCCTAGAGGAAAACCTGCTTCAGTCTGTTTTACACCAGAGACTGGGAGATTAATTCACCTTTCAGCAGGACAATAACCTACAACACAAGGCCAAATCTATAGGAGCTGCTTACCAAGATAGTGAATGTTCCTGAGTGGCCTAGTTACAGTTGACTTAAATCTGCTTGAAAATCTATGGCAAGACTTAAATGCTGTCTAACCATGATCCCCAACATCTTGACAGAGCTTGAAGAATTTAAGAGAATAATGGGCAAATATTGCATAATCCAGGTATGTGAATCTCTTAGATTTACCAAAGAAGACTCACAGCTGTAATCTATGCCAAAGGTGTTTCTACCGTGTATTGACTCAGGGAGCTGAATACTAATGCAACGACTATTTTAGTTATTTAATTTTTATTCATCTTTAAAAAAAATATATATATATATTCCTTGACTTTGACAGTGTTTGATGTGTTGGCTTTTGTGTAGATTGACAAAATGACATACATTTTAATCCTACTTTGTCCCAAAATGTGATTAAATCCAAGGGGTCTGAATACTTTTGCAGTTGTATTCTCAGTCCCACTGTGGCTGCAGAGTTGCAGTTAGTTGTACAGCATTTCAGAATGTTCTACACTGAAAAAATGCATAGTATAAATGCTTGCTCACTGGACTTCCTCAATCTAAAATGAAGGAAAACTTGATCAGTATTGAGAAATTTTATACAGCAATGGCTGTCCTCTGTAATACTTTGTATTAATAAAAGTTTACTGTAGACTCAGTACTCAATAAAAGTCAGGCATATACAGTCACCATTGGCAAATGTAGTAGTACAAAATAAATTGCATATTATATCACATACTGAACACTCACTCCCTCACATGGCAGTGACAAATAAATAAATTACAGGTATAAAATGAATAATAAAAAGTTCCATTTTTAAGATGTTCCTCGTAAAGAGGACTACTCAGTCCATGCCATATGTGACTACTGAGTGTTCCGATCATGCACATCATTGGCACAAACACATTCCTGGGGTTTCATAGGTAGCCTGAGTGCCAGCATGTTTGTGCTATCATGCCAATTCCTTGTCACTCATTGTCATGCCAGACAATGAGCAATGGGGTTGGCAAGAGCACAAAGAGATCTGGGAACAGGCTTCTTCAGAGGTGGTGGCAGAGCCAACTTGTCTAGTCTAGGGTTCTGTAAAATGATCCCAAAGAAGTGAGATCTCTGGACTGACTGTGCTCTGGCTGGCCTGGCAGTTGCGGCCCTGCATTTGAGGTCTTGGTAAGGTTTGAGATCTTCCTGTTTCCACTCCTCTCCTTTAGATGGTGACATCAGACACGTGGTGGTGGTGGTCTCAGAGCCTGAGAGAGATAAATATTTACAGTGAGGGAAAAAAGTATTTGATCCCCTGCTGATTTTGTACATTTTCCCACTGACAAAGAAATTATCAGTCTATAATTTTAATGGTAGGTTAATTTGAACAGTGAGAGACAGAATAACAACAAAAAAATCCAGAAAAACGCATGTCAAAAATGTTATAAATTGATTTGCATTTTAATGAGTGAAATAAGTATTTGACCCCCTCTCAATCAGAAAGAGTGTCTTTTATACAGGTAACGAGCTGAGATTAGGAGCACACTCTTAAAGGGAGTGCTCCTAATCTTAGTTTGTTACCTGTATAAAAGACACCTGTCCACAGAAGCGATCAATCAATCAGATTCCAAACTCTCCACCATGGCCAAGACCAAAGAGCTCTCCAAGGATGTCAGGGACAAGATTGTAGACCTACACAATGCTGGAATGGGCTACAAGACCATCGCCAAGCAGCTTGGTGAGAAGGTGACAACAGTTGGTGCCATTATTTGCAAATTGAAACACAAAATAACTGTCAATCTCCCTCGGCCTGGGGCTCCATGCAAGATCTCACCTCGTGGAGTTGCAATGATCATGAGAACGGTGAGGAATCAGCCCAGAACTACACGGGAGGATCTTGTCAATGATCTCAAGGCAGCTGGGACCATAGTCACCAAGAAAACAATTGGTAACACACTACGCCGTGAAGGACTGAAATCCTGCAGCGACCGCAAGGTCCCCCTGCTCAAGAAAGCACATATACAGGTCCGTCTGAAGTTTGCCAATGAACATCTGAATGATTCAGAGGAGAACTGGGTGAAAGTGTTGTGGTCAGATGAGACCAAAACGGAGCTCTTTGGCATCAACTCAACTCGCCGTATTTGGAGGAGGAGGAATGCTGCCTATGACCCCAAGAACACCATCCCCACCGTCAAAGGTGGAAACATTATGCTTTGGGGGTGTTTTTCTGCTAAGGGGACAGGACAACTTCACCACATCAAAGGGACGATGGACGGGGCCATGTACTGTCAAATCTTGGGTGAGAACCTCCTTCCCTCAGCCAGGGCATTGAATGGGTCGTGGATGGGTATTCCAGCATGACAATGACCCATAACACACGGCCAAGGCAACAAAGGAGTGGCTCAAGAAGAAGCACATTAAGGTCCTGGAGTGGCCTAGCCAGTCTCCAGACCTTAATCCCATAGAAAATCTGTGGAGGGAGCTGAAGGTTCGAGTTGCCAAACGTCAGCCTCAAAACCTTAATGACTTGGAGAAGATCTGCAAAGATGAGTGGGACAAAATCCCTCCTGAGATGTGTGCAACTGGTGGCCAACTACAAGAAACGTCTGACCTCTGATTGCCAAAAAGGGTTTTGCCACCAGGTACTAAGTAATGTTTTGCAGAGGGGTTAAATACTTATTTCCCTCATTAAAATGCAAATCAATTTATAACATTTTTGACATGCGTTTTTCTGGATTTTGTTGTTGTTATTCTGTCTCCCACTGTTCAAATAAACCTACCATTAAAATTATAGACTGATCATGTCTTTGTCAGTGGGCAAACGTACAAAATCAGCTGGGGATCAAATACTTTTTTCCCCTCACTGTACTTTATGGTAAATGTTATTCCTGTTCAAATCTAAATGGATTAATTCACTTATGTGCCATTATGATATTAAGAATTATGCTAATAGTCTCTTTCTTACCTGTCGTGCAGCCCTGAAGTCACAGACCGGGGTTTGTGATTGGTTAGCAGCTGGAGGGGGTGGGGGCGGAGCTACTTTTGGTCTCTTGGGCTGGAAATAGTAAAAAGATGAATAAATAGGCAACAAGAATCTTATTAACCAAGGCCAACATTGAGATGATACTGTATAAATCAAAAGGTATTTCATTAGATTTACCTGCTGTGGCATAGCGTTGTTTTGGCTGGGGATTGGCAGTTTGTTATGGATGTGGTTGTCCACTGCATGGATTTTCTTCTGGGTATGGTGGCTAGCGGATGAGCAGACAGTGATTTTATTTTATATAACCTTTTTTTTAATTATTTTTTTTTTATTTAAGGAACACCCATTGATGTCAGAATACATATTTTACAAGGGAGACCTGACAATTGAGTACATCTTAATTCATCAAAGAATAATATATACCCCACGTAGTGTACTCACCTAGGCAGAGTGGGGAGCTGTCGTCTCTTCTTTAGGAACACAGCCGATGCCCCAGCAATAGCAGCCAGGAGCAGCAGAGAGACTGCCACTGCAATGCCAATCACTCCTTCTACAATCACACACAGATAAGGTTAAGGAAAGGTCTATACAAGAGTTGAATACAATGAAAACACAGACCAAACCGATTGGCAAAACTTTACATAAAGATGCTCAAATACCTGTAGTAACACTGTAATTACTCTAGTAACATGTAAATAAAGTCTTATCCCTTTTATCGATTGAAACAATATTTTTTAAAAAACAAAGATTACCTCTGGAGAGGCCTGTGAAGCTTCCATCCTTTGTATCACAGCCTGGAAGTGACCATCCAGGTTCACACTGGCACTCCATTCTGTGATTACACACCTGCAGTGTCACAACACAGAAACACACACATCATTATAAGGCAGGGCTCTTCAACCTTTTCTTGTCCAGGGACCCCCATCAACATATTCAAATGAATTATCAACATTTTATAATGAATAGATTTGGTAGATTGTTTTTCCTTATTTTTGACCTTCCCACATTATAAATTAGAAGAGGAAATGTAAACTAACATAGCCTATTACCTCGAAAGGTAACTCCAAACACAATTTCGCTAAGAGCAGGTGTTTAGCTGGTTAAACAAAGGTTAGCCATGTGTTGGCTTTGAAAAAGCACCCCCGAATAGGCTATGTCAGATAATCCAGTGAGTGTAATTTGCTCAATATTTGGAGTTGAGAAATAAAAAGTTATCATTAGAAAGAAGATATTATCCTCTTTTCTACAGTAGGTATGTAATTCAAAAATAGTTTTTTTTTTTTTTTTGCCGACCCCCTGAGGACCCCTAGGGTGCCATGGACCCCGGCTGAATACATTTTTACATTTTAGTCATTTAGCAGACGCTCTTATCCAGAGCGACTGACAGTTAGTGCATACATTTTCATACTGTTTCATACGCCTGTTATAAGGACATATTCAAGAAACACTTGGAGGAGAGACCTCCAAGCAGAGATGACAGAAAGCAGCCTCAACTGGTGAGACCTGGAAAATCTTGCCTCAAACCGAATGAAGAGAAGGAGGACATTTGTCAATGGCCTACGCTCCTTATAGCAGTGTTTCATCCCGAGCTCACCAATACCAAACCAGAGACAGGGGACGCTGTACTCACAGCATGTCCTTTGCACTGTGCTGAGCAGTTGGTGGCCTTGGGTCCGTAGGCTGTCTCAAGATCCACACACTCGTTCTTGCTGCACACCTTAGAATAGAAGACAGAGGAATGGGCACAAGAATAAAATAGAAAATAACACGGTACACATTCAATTTAATTTCCAAAAACACAGCTAGAGGTAGCCTCAGTAGCAACAGCCAAAAAGTAATCTTACCTTCCCATCATTACACTTGGTCCCCGTGTCCACCTGTCCAAAGTCACTGTTGTGATCACCGTAGAATGTGGCTTTGCAGTCGGAGAACTTCACCATGCGACCATAGTTGGGGTCGTCATTACCGTTATTGCAGAAGAGTTTCCCACACTGCACATCTCTACAAAGGAGAGCCACAGGAGGGAGTCATATCAGTGACACGCCGCTTAAATAAGCAACACCATAATCTGAGTAGTAAAAGCAGTCTATTGAAATAACATGGTATTGCTTGTTAGGCCTCACTGGCTCTGGCAAGGGATGTACTGGTCCTGTGAAGGCCGTCTGCAATAGGCGTAGTACAGTCCTCTGGTGTTCTGGTCATAGCAGTACGTTCTGGCTTTTTCAGCAGCTGAGGAGGGGATAACACCCAATGTTACAAAATGCATTAGAGAAGTTCAGAAAGGAAACCATTTATTAGAAAATATTACAATGCATAGTCTAGGCGTTAGGGCTCTGCTCCTTCAGGGTAGCGTCAGGCTAACTGCCAGAGCGAGGCGTCATATGAAGATGATAATATAACTACAGGCAGCGAGCAAGATATGCTATATCAAATCCCCCGAAGGAAGAAACAGAACCAGGTGGAGGCTGGGGTGGTGGTGGGATGTCAGGTGTATTGTAATGCATATTTAAAGTGTGGACACAATGGTGACTTTTGTTGTTTCAGCCTTTTTGAGAGATGCCATCACCTGGTTCTGTTTCTTCCTTCGGGGGATTTGATATAGCATATCTTGCTCACTGCCTGTAGTTATATTATCATCTTCATATGACGCCTCGCTCTGGCAGTTAGCCTGACGCTACCCTGAAGGAGCAGAGCCCTAACGCCTAGACTATGTCAGAAACAGCAAGCATAGCAAGTAACAGCTAGTTACAGCAGCAACGGTAGCAAGAGACACCAGCGCATGGTTGCGCATGACATCCGGCATTGAGGAAGCATTTGTAGAACTGGTCAAATTTAAATAGAATGTAGGTAGAGTGTGAAGCAAATTGGTGCAATATCTGCTGATGGGACCACACCCGGGTTTCCCTTCTGAACTGGCTCTGGTTTATTAGTGAATCACCATGTGTCAAAAAAGAGAGGGTGATGGCATCTCTCAAAAAGGCTGAAACAACAAAAGTCACCATTGTGTCCACACTTTAAATATGCATTACAATACACCTCCTGACTTGACCATTTCATGACAGGAAATTGATCTAAAAAAAGACATGCAACAGTAAGGTTGCAGTATGAGAATATGAACCAGAAGAGCTACCTACATCACCTGATCTGATGAGAGGTGACTCTGTGATGACGATACAGAGGGAAATGCTTTCACACTTACATGGTCCATACATTTTCATACACTGGCCGTGATGCTGTGGACACTGGCCGTTGAGGCAGTAGCCCCTCCCTCTATCACAGGAGATCCCATTGACAGAGAAGACGTCCTCAGGACAGTCGGCTGATTTCCCTGTGCAGTACTCTGCCAGGTCACAGTCATCATGCTTACTTCTGCACTCTGTGGACGAGGCCATGATCTGTGGAGAGAGTGGTTGTTGCTATGTTCAGTATCACTAGCTTGTTAGTCTTCCCACATCCGACAGTCATGAGTATGGAAAGATAGTCTTTTAGCTTGGTGAAAGAGGTGTCACGCTGCATCTGTACTCTGAATCCACTCTGATTGTCGAAATATAAGATTAAACTAGCCTGGCTGACTCGCAGATCCACGTGTACACAACGAGTTGCTTTTGCCAGACTAGTTCTAAACAATACGTATTCAAGATGATTTGTTATTAAGTGATAATATGGAAAATATTCTGCTTTCACTATTTCCTTTCCTTTTAAAGGTATATAAAATGAAGGAATGAAAGTGAAATGTCTTCAATGCACATACATTTAAAGTCATAAAACCCTTTGACATAGTTATACGTGTCTGCTGCATGTCCACAAGAGGGCTGTGGTATCAGAGGAACACAGCAGGACGTCTAAAACTGTTGAACTGTGGTCTGGTCTCACCTTACAGTCTTCACAGCACTCTCCTGCAGCACACTCTGAGCCCTTGGTCAGTGTGCAGCTGGTGGCATTACAGCAAGGGTTTGTACACTCCTATAACATCAAAACCCTACATGTCATTATGAGAATGCTATGAGGTGATCAGCAAGTTATCAAGGAATGAGAACATAATGTACATCCATCCAGTATGTACATATCTCAAAGTCAAGCCTCTATGTATGTGTAGGCTTTAACTAGATGCCAAAGGGTTTCCCTGATCCATGTTTACCCCTTAAAGTTTTATACCACAGTAAGACACGCTAACTAAGTAAAACAAACATTGTACTGTAGTAGGCTATAAATAGGAATTGCAGGCTGATGCAAACAAGACTTGGCAGGAGAGGTGTAGTTCAGCAAGACAGGGACACAATAAGATGGTATCTTATCAGACCGACTAACAGGTCTGGACAGACTGACTTGACTAAACTGTCCTGCACACCTAACTGCCTCTGACTGGAATGTAAACTGATGTTCATGGATTATTACTTTCAACGTTTCTTCTACCAGATCACCATATAGCCATGACTATCATACAATGCGTGAAAATGTATAGTCTACAATGTCTGGAAATGTGAATCATCTAGTGAATCTTATCATTGCATTACTGCCATGTCAGTACACTCATTCGAAGAGAAATTCCCAAACATTTAGGTTTTTCTAAGGTGGGTGGTGGTGGATATATGTATATCAGGATAGGCCTGTGCTTGTCAAAGGCATTCTCTATTGCATTCTCTATTTTGCCCCTAGCTAAGGAAAACAGGCATGACCAGGCAAAGACCACGCACATAAATCTGAAATGTTATTCCCAGAAATGCAATGTAATCACTTGACATACTTGTATTAACTCCACGAGAACCAACTTTTGTCTGATTTGAATGGCACATTGTTGATCTAAATGGTGGTAGAAGGAATAGAATGAGAAGGTTAATTCACCTCCAGGGAGCCACAATCACACGCCTCTCCTTTCTCCAGAAAGCCATTCCCACACACTGGGGTTGATACCACATTTCGGTAGTCTGGCTTGTTCAGTAGGCACTCAGGGTTACGATTATTCAGGAACTGGTCATAGTTCACACTACTGCAGCTACTGAATGACTTAGGGATATCCCAGCTGAAAGAAAAAACACTTAAGTTACCCATAAGGTCATATACTGACTTTCAATATAACCACTGTAGCACAAAACACTGTGCTGTCCAAGTGGGTAGAACTGTATAGCTGCTCTGTGTGTTATGAGCAGAGAAAACAATGCCTGTAAGTATTCTTTAATACATATTCCCTCTTGCTTGTAAACCACAATCAGATGGTTTATCATTGACAGCATTCCATTCTAGTCACAACATTATATATTTCGAAACTTCTCATAATAACGGTCCTTACCTGAGGGCACCAGCCATTACACAGCTATTCCCAGAACAAGTACAGGCACTGGAGTCATCGTGGTTCATGCCCAGGTTGTGGCCCATCTCATGGGCCAATGTGGCCCCCACAGCTATGGCCCTGGCGTTGTGATCCTGTAAGGTAGTAAATAGTTAACATTAAATGGAATTGAATGTGTTTGACCATATCTTATAATCTGTGAAACTAACCTTGATAAATAGGTTAGAGATTAAATTGATATAGAATGTGTGTGACTGTCTCATTCTATCAAAATGCGCTAAAATCTAATCGAGCTCCCTTTTTCTGATTATAGACATCTTGTTCTGCATGTTGGTTGATTAGATAGTTAAAGAGCAAAAAGCAACTTCTCCTTTTGAAAATGCCTACGTGGCATCGATATGAGGAAGAAACAGTTATTCTAGTGTCAAAATGTACTAAGAAGTGTAAATAGGATATTTTGGTTCATAAAGTCAGTCTTGTCCAAAACAAAGATTTGTGTGATTAAAAAAAAGAAGGTATTTCACGGAATGAAGGGTACGCTAACATTTTTCCTTGGGTTGGGTTTATTTAAATCCTGCCCAAATGCCCACAGCTGGCAGCACCCAAGTAATCATCAATTCAGAGAGCAGCTGCATGCGACCCGATCGTAATGCCCATGCAATTTGGTTTGACATTCGATATCCCTATGGGGCTAGTTAGGGACCATCAGTAAATTACACAATGTACATGGGACTGAAAAATTATGTCAATAGCTCCGAATTTCAATGACTTAAAAATCTCAAACCAATTATAAGTTGTAGAAATTCATATACAAATATTGAAAGCGTTTAATGAGACAACCAAAAGGTGTGCAACATGAAAATATTGTCCCATTTACATTGTATAATTTATTGATGGTCCCTAACTAGCCCCAGAGAAGTCTTTAACAGCCCCCATTTAACTGTGTGAAATCCTTCATTAATATATTTTTTAATTTTAGTAATTTAGCAGATGCTCTTATCCAGAGCGACTTAATGTAGTAAGTGTATACTTTTTTAAAACTTTTTTGTACTGGTCCCCCTGTGGGAATTGAACCCAATCACCATGCTCTTCCAACTGAGCCACACTGGACCGTAAAGTACATTTCATTCCCATGCCGTTTTTTTCACAACTATTTCTAAAAAGTTAATCTTCCAATTCAACCTTCACTTTTTCTGCTTTGTAAACTTCACAGTTTGGAAACTTGGTAGAACCTCTCCATTGTCCCATTTTACTTGTTCAATTCCTCATGCAAAATCAAGCCTACTAACACAAATAATGGCAGCTTATTGTGTTGGCAAATGTAGACCTAATGAAATGTACTTTACCTGCACCACCCCAACTGAATGACCTGAACATAAAGTCCCGATGAAGGCCAGACCCACCGTCGAGCCCTCAAAGTCAATGCCACTGAAACACAGGGAACAAGAAACATATCAACCCCACATACGTATACATGTCAGCCACAGTGTTTTTGCATTGCCCATGTATTCATTGTTTTTGTCTGTTTAATCGTGGATTTGCAACAAAATGCGGATTACTATTACTCAGGATGAGCTACTGAATATTAGGGACACATTGCCAGCTGTTTTGTGTTCTGAAGTTTTGTCCTCAGGCACCGAAATATTGATATTGTATCTGTATGTTGTCTGGGTGGACTGGGTAGGTGTAAATGTACTTGGCGAATAAAGGAGATTCTGATTCTGATGTTAAATACCCATGTTATAAATTCTTCAATGTGGGTCTATCAAGAATGACAACGTTCCAAACCAAGATGGCCTAATCAGGTGACCCATCAGGTGACCATCAGCTGACCCTATAAAGACGCCTGACAAGCACACACCAAACGAGAAACACTATTTTCATGCCACTTTGATACCTCTACGACGAGAAGTGACCTTTTTTGTAGCAGGTTAGGAGAATTAGGTTACGGTTAGGAAAAGCAAAACATTATCACCTAACCTGCTACGAAAATCACTTCCGGTCGTAGCTGTATCGAAGTGGTGTAAAAAGAGTGTCCCCAAATTTCTTTGGCTGAGTCCAATAGTACCTGATTAGGTGTGCGTTGTGGCCTACCTGATGAGGTGTGTACGTCATGGCCTACCTGATGAGGTGTGCGTTGTCGTGGGGCTTGGTCTTGGCCAGGTCGCTGTTCCTCCACGTGGTAAAGGCATCCAGGGTGGCACCAGCAGGGGCGGTCACTGATATCTTATCGCTGTCTGACCATACCTCCAGACCAACCAGGGCAATAAAGGTGTTGAGGGGCTTATATACCTGCAGGCAGATTTATTTCATGGTCAGGTAAGACTCTCCCCATTAAAACAATTAGGTGTGGTTTACCCTGACAGAGAAAAAGCATAGTCCAGAACTAGGCTTAATCGGTGTCCTGGAAACCGTTACAGTTCATTGGATAACAATTAAAACATACTGAGGTTTCAATTGGATGACCTTCATAAGGCAGAGAAACAAACAAGGACTGTACAAGCAGTGCCAGAAGACAAAAAAGGTGTGGTGAGAATCTAATTAAACATAGAGGTGTTTGATATTAGGTTACCAGGCCAGCAGGGACATGGTGCTGTAAGGGGATCTTATAGGGATGTACTGCAGTTTGCTAATGCTGGCGTCACCATGTGACTGACTCACCATGTTGACAAAGTTGACCACTTCAAATATCCTCGTACGCAGCTTTCCGAGATTACTCTCCATCTTCTTGTACTGAAACGGTATGGATGCAATATGTTTTAGTGTGCTCACAAGAGAACAACGGACATCCTGTCACAATGCATTACTCTCTAATTGGATAAGATTATTAAGAATATTTGATAGATACAGTGCCTTCGGAATGTATTCAGACCCTTGACTTTTTCCATATTTTGTTACGTTACAGCCTTATTCTAAAATGGATTTAAAAAATATATAATCCTCAGCAATCTACACACAATACCCCATAATGACAAAGCAAAAACAGGTTTTTCGATTTCTTAGCAAATGTATTCAAAATAAAAAAACAGAAATACCTTATTTACATAAGTATTCAGACCCTTTGCTATGAGACTCGAAATTGAGCTCAGGTGCATCCTGTTTCCATTGATCATCCTTGAGATATTTCTACAACTTGATTGGAGTCCACCTGTGGTAAATTCAATTGATTGGACACTATTTGGAAAGGCACACACCTGTCTACAGTATATAAAGTTTCTACAGTTGACGGTGCATGTCAGAACAAAAACAAAGCCATGAGGTCGAAGGAATTGTCCGTAGAGCTCTGAGACAGGATTGTGTCGAGGCACAGATCTGGGGAAGGGTACCAAAAAATGTCTGCAGCATTGAAGGTCCCCAAGGACAAAGTGGCCTCCATCATTCTTAAATGGGAGAAGTTTGGAACCACCAAGACTCTTCCTAGAGCTGGCCGCCTGGCCAAACTGAGCAATCGGGGGAGAAGGGCCTTGGTCAGGGAGGTGACCAAGAACTCGATGGTCACTGACAGAGCTCTAGAGTTCCTCTGTGGAGATGGGAGAACATTATAAAAGGACAGCCATCTCTGCAGCACTCCACCACTCAGGCCTTTATGGTAGAGTGGCCAGACGGAAGCCGCACCTCAGTAAAAGGCACATGACAGCCCACTTGGAGTTTGCCAAAAGGCACCTAAAGACTCTCAGGCCGTGAGAAACAAGATTCTCTGGTCTGATGAAACCAAGATTGAACTCATTGGCCTGAATGCCAAGCGTCACGTCTTTAGGAAACGTGGCACCATCCCTACGGTGAAGTATGGTGGTGGCAGCATCATGCTGTGGGGATGTTTTTCAGCGGCAGGGACTGGGAGACTAGTCAGGATCGAGGCAAAGATGAACGGAGCAAAGTACAGAGAGATCCAGCGCTCAGGACCTCAGACTGGGGCGAAGGAATGTCTCTGAATGTCCTTGAGTGCCCCAGCCAGAACCCGGACTTGAATCTGATCGAACATCTCTGGAGAGACCTAAAATTAGCTGTGCAGCAACGCTCCCCATCCAACCTGGGAGAAATGGGAGAAACTCCCCAAATACAGGTGTGCCACGCTTGTAGCATCATACCCAAGAAGACTCGATCAAGGCTGTAATCGCTGCCAAAGGTGCTTCAACAAAGTACTGAGTAAAGGGTCTGAATACTTATGTAAATGTTTATCAGTTTTTTAGTTGTTTTTTTATTAGCAAAAATGTATAAAAAACAGTTTTTGCTTTGTCATTATGGGGTATTGTGTGTAGATTGATTAGGAAAAAAACAATGTAATCAATTTTACAATAATGCTATTACCTAACAAAATGTGGAACAAGTCAAGGGGTCTGAATACTTTCCAAAGGCACTGTATAGGTTGGTTTCCTAAATATTATTTGGTCAAAATAATGGCCAAAGAAATGATGAGAATGAAATGTTCAAGTGTATTGTGTTGATTCTGGTAGAGGTGAGGTACTTGTGTTTCTGGTGTATTGTCAGTTCTTACCTCACGGTTGTCTGCAACAAGGACAAGCTCAACATATTTTTGCTGTTGAAGTATAGATGGACCCTAATAAACAGGAAAACGTGGTTAGAAATGAAGGGTGCTCAACCAATGTGAGTTGAGGTGCAACCCCTAAAAATGGATCATCATTGAAAAGGAAAAGGCGCAACGCTCGCTCACCATTAAAAACTCAATGTTTTATTCAAGCAAAGACAAAAAGGTGACGTTTCGGCCATCAATGGCCTTCATCAGAACACATCATTTCCTGTTAGGGAATATCAGACTATATTTAACTACAGACATTTTAGGTATATTAATGGATTGGATGTCTTACTGAGGCTCGAGAGCGGCTCCTGCTAGCAGTGGAAGGGTAGTCTACGTTCCAGGTAGTATTAGTGACTCCACACAGCATAGGCTTGGAGTTCTGGTCCTCGTATTTCAGCACTGCATGATCACCATCATCCCCCCCTGACAGGGGCTCAATCAGGTACCTTTGGGTGGCCGTTCTGAAATATCCACTAAAATAAAAAAGACATAATAGACATTATACAATCGATTTTGGGTATGAAATAGTGTTTCACTGTGGACTAATAGAAATGTAGGGCTGCCTGCCTGAGTCCATTGCAGGTGCTCATGCTGACCGTAGATTCACTGTCATCCACAATACTGCCGTGATAGTAGCAGTGATCCTGGAGAAGAGAATGAAGGTTAAAGGGCCTTAATCAAGGCACTTAGAAACAGCCTATGGCTACCTATCAAGGGTATGTTCTAATCACTTACCATATCCTGAGGCGTAGAGGTGACTGGTGTGCCATCCTCAGTGTAGTAAGTCTCACTATAGTCTTTCGTGAGTAATTCCCTGAGGGGATATTTAAAAAAAAAAGTTATTCATTACATATTTCCTCAGACTGACCTACATGTTCAAAGGAATTAATGCGGTGATAACAAAATTAATATATTTCTTGAATGATATTTGAGGATGCAGTGTATGGCTACAAATGGGAACTGAACACTAGACTGTGGTAAAACAGTTCTCCACATAGTGCACATCCTTATTTAGGGGAAAGAGGAAGCATGTGATAAGCTTATTTATATTGTGTGAGAAGTTAACATTTTGTAGAAAGAGATGGCTTTTGCCAGAGTATGTACCTATTCTTCTCCAGGTGCATCTCAATGTCTTTCCCACCCACTCTCATTGCATACTTAATAGTTTCTGGCCTGGATGACTGAGGGAGAGGATTAGGATTAGTTGATACCATAGATATAATCTCTCCCCAGTACATTAACATGGTCTCTTATACCACTTTGTTACAAGCAGTAAACACAATTGTTAATAAAGAATAGTTTGGCATTTATGTCTACAGAGTATTTCACAGCAAAACAGCTCCTGTGCAGGGAGGAAGAACAGGAGAAGAACTTACCTCGGTTTCTCTTTTCTGCAGAGCATGAAGTCTGATGGGTCGGACTACCTCATAGTCCCTCACCCCTTCAAGAGGACCATGACTCACTGTGGGGAGAGAGGGAGAGTGAACGATGAGGGATAGAGAGAATTCAAGAATGGACTATCTTCGTCTGTTTCCATTCTGATCCATTCTATTCTAAACGTATCATAACCTGAAGAGGATGATGTTAACCTCTACGGGATCGGTGTCCCGTATACGGGATAGTTAAGCTAACGTGTGCTAATGTGATTAGCATGACTGTTGTAAGTAACAGCAAACTTTCCAGGACATTGACATCTCTTATATGGGCAGAAAGATTAAATTACTGTTAATCTAACTGCTCTGTCCAATTTACAGTAGCTATTACAGTGAAAAAATACCATGCTATTGTTTGAGGAGAGTGCACAACAACAAAAAACGTATCACGGCAACTGGTTTGATACATTCACCTCTGAAGGTAAATAATGTACTTACATTCAGTAATCTTGCTCTGATTTGTCATCCTAAGGGTCCCAGAGATAAAATGTAGCATAGTTTTGTTTGATAAAATCAATTTTTATATTCAAAATGTAGGAACTGGGTTCTACAGTTTGAACCCCTGCTGTCTCTGTCTCCACACCCACCCCGCCTGGGCATCTAGATGTGTGAAAATTTATGTACAAGCTAATGATCCATCATGTATGACATTCCTGGGAGTGTGTAAACTTACATTTTGTATTACCACATCATTTTTGTATGTTCCCTATAGTTATGCACTTGAAAATGTATAAATTGACCAAAATCGGCACATTTGGGCAGACTTAATACAAAATAGTCCAGTATTGCAATGCTTCACTGGATCAATCTGAAACTTTTCACACACACTGCTGCCGTTTGTGTCCAAAATCTAAATTGCGCCTAAACTGCAGTATTATATTGCAGCCTTTCTCTTGCATTTCAAAGATGATGGAACAACAAAAAAATATATAATGTTTTTTTGTTTGTATTATCTTTTACCAGATCTAATATGTTATATTCTCCTACATTAATTTCACATTTCCACAAACTTCAAGTGTTTCCTTTCAAATGGTATCAAGAATATGCATATCCTTGCTTCAGGTCCTGAGCTAAAGGCAGTTAGATTTGGGTATGTCTTTTAAGGCGAAAATTGAAAAGAATATTCTGATCCTTAAGAGGTTAACCTTGTTTCCAGGCATTGACTGGTCCATTGGTAAGGAACAGTCAGATGGCAGTGTTTTGCCCTTGATCTGCAGCAGTATAACCCTGGCTTTCCTTATATTCAATGCATTTCATTAATGTTTACACATTGTCTCGTCAAATGACAGTATGAATACCTCAGATACATGAACACAGGCTGTTTGATCCTTGCATATGATAATTATAATATGCCATTTAGCAGACGCTTTTATCCAAAGCGACTTACAGTCATGTGCGCATACATTTTTTACATATGGGTGGTCCCGGGGATCGAACCCACTACCCTGGCGTTACAAGCGCCATGCTCTACCAATTGAGCTACAGAGGACTAGGTGATGTTTCTAGGTGCTGTTCTAGGTGCTGTTTCGTTAGAGAGTGTATGTCAAGGGCTGACAGATGGATATACAGTGGGGAGAACAAGTATTTGATACACTGCCGATTTTGCAGGTTTTCCTACTTACAAAGCATGTAGAGGTCTGTAATTTTTATCATAGGTACACTTCAACTGTGAGAGACATAATCTAAAACAAAAATCCAGAAAATCACATTGTATGATTTTTAAGTAATTCATTTGCATTTTATTGCATGACATAAGTATTTGATACATCAGAAAAGCAGAACTTAATATTTGGTACTTCATTTGCAATTACAGAGATCATGCGTTTCCTGTAGGTCTTGACCAGGTTTGCACACACTGCAGCAGGGATTTTGGCCCACTCCTCCATACAGACCTTCTCCAGATCCTTCAGGTTTCGGGGCTGTCGCTGGGCAATACGGACTTTCAGCTCCCTCCAAATATTTTCTATTGGGTTCAGGACTGGAGACTGGCTAGGCCACTCCAGGACCTTGAGATGCTTCTTACGGAGCCACTCCTTAGTTGCCCTGGCTGTGTGTTTCGGGTCGTTGTCATGCTGGAAGACCCAGCCATGACCCATCTTCAATGCTCTTACTGAGGGAAGGAGGTTGTTGGCCAAGATCTCGCGATACATAGCCCCATCCATCCTCCCCTCAATACGGTGCAGTCTTCCTGTCCCCTTTGCAGAAAAGCATCCCCAAAGAATGATGTTTCCACCTCCATGCTTCACGGTTGGGATGGTGTTCTTGGGGTTGTACTCATTCTTCTTCTTCCTCCAAACACGGCGAGTGGAGTTTAGACCAAAAAGCTCTATTTTTGTCTCATCAGACCACATGACCTTCTCCCATTCCTCCTCTGGATCATCCAGATGGTCATTGGCAAACTTCAGACGGGCCTGGATATGCGCTGGCTTGAGCAGGGGGACCTTGCGTGCGCTGCAGGATTTTAATCCATGACGGCGTAGTGTGTTACTAATGGTTTTCTTTGAGACTGTGGTCCCAGCTCTCTTCAGGTCATTGACCAGGTCCTGCCGTGTAGTTCTGGGCTGATCCCTCACCTTCCTCATGATCATTGATGCCCCACGAGGTGAGATCTTGCATGGAGCCCCAGACCGAGGTTGATTTTCTTCCATTTTCTAATAATTGCGGCAACAGTTGTTACCTTCTCACTAAGCTGCTTGCCTATTGTCCTGTAGCCCATCCCAGCTATGTGCAGGTCTACAATTTTATCCCTGATGTCCTTACACAGCTCTCTGGTCTTGGCCATTTTGGAGAGGTTGGAGTCTGCTTGATTGAGTGTTTGGACAGGTGTCTTGTATACAGGTAATGAGTTCAAACAGGTGCAGTTAATACAGGTAATGAGTGGAGAACAGGAGGGCTTCTTAAAGAAAAACTAACAGGGCTGTGAGAGCCGGAATTCTTACTAGTTGGTATGTGATCAAATACTTATGTCATGCAATAAAATGCAAATGAATTACTTAAAAATCATACAATGTGATTTTCTGGATTTTTGTTTTAGATTCCGTCTCTCACAGTTGAAGTGTACCTATGATAAAAATTACAGACCTCTACATGCTTTGTAAGTAGGGAAACCTGCAAAATCGGCAGTGTATCAAATACTTGTTCTCCCCACTGTAGATATTTTTGTTATCTTTGTTACCCTTTCTTGTTCTCTGTCAGGCCTGATTGATTTGTACTTGAGCTTGGCCCATTGAAGTTCATATCAGCCTCTTCGTGATTGGGCCATAGAGGAACATTGGGAATTATGACATTTAATTGGTTGTCTCGTTCCCAGACACTTCCACAGCTAAGATTTTGACATATGGGCGATGCCCCCCACAATCAGTTTGGGTTTACCAGATAATGCAATAATCTCTGTGTTCTCATTCCATCCATACCTGGTGTGTCAACACTTACTAACAATACTAAATTGATGTTTCCCAATAGTCGTTGTGAGAAGGAGACTTAGTTAAGGTTTTATCACTATAGATCAACGATTCGCAACTGGTGGATTGGGAGGTTTTGAATGGGTTGAGGGGGTCTGAGTAAAAAATTAATAACTTAAACCACAAAAACCCAGTAGAAAGTGATTCAATAATTTAATCTCTGAACAATTCTTCTTCAGTCAGTATTTTGAATATAGAGCTATTAGCAGTGCTGTTTAGCAGATTTGGTTGATTTGTGGTCTCTAACCAGTGAGCTTATTAACATCAAGAATATGGGCAAAATTGAATTATTGACAATGAAAAGGTGGGAATGTTGTTCCCACATTATACAATTGCTACATTTAATATCAATATAGCAGTAAAAATAGTTTTCCAGATTGCATTTTAGCGATTTATCACCCTACTCCCCTGCGAATATTGGGTCTCGACAGGCAACCATGTTCAATTTGGGTTCTGAGGCAAAACCAGTTGAGAACCACTGCTATAGAGGGGTTTCCAGAGGGTTACAGGCAGTACCTGTCTGACTCATTTCCACCTTATCAGGTCAGGAGAAAGAGTGGAATAGAGTGTTGAGAAGGGTGTGGCATTGTTGTGGTACAAAGTCCAGTTTCAGCCACACAATTTCACAAAAAGCACTCTTCGTATGTCTGTGCATATTTATTTAGACATGCCTAGTCTAGAGATGATTGACTAATGACTACTGTAATTATTAAACCATGTAGAACTGATAGCATGATCGCCCTGTCTGGTGCTCTGTCAGTGCCACAGGAAGCCATGTTAGAATCAAATGGATGAAAAGTATTGTAGTTTTGAATTAAATATACTGGCTGCTATACTTTTTCAGACGTTTTACTAAACAAAGCCATGGAGAGATCTGAACGTTCACAGACTTCCAATTTAATCCATTTTCACGCTCCTTCAGAAAAACATGAACAGAAGAGATTCTTTGCCTCTTTTCTTCTAAATGTCTTTGCTTCAGTATTAAAAACAACCCACTGGGCACAAAAGTCAATTCACCATCTATTCCACGTTGGTTCAATGTAATTTCATTGAAACGATGTGGAAACAACGTTGATTCAATCAGTGTGTGCCCAGTGGGAACTCACATTATATTTATTCCCCACTGTAGAAATCCTTTTAATCATACTTGTAATTCCCTCAAACAGAACATTTACTTTCTCCTTTGAGAAATATATATAAACTCACTGTACTGTAAGTGCAGCTAGTCTGAATAAAGTGCCCTGAGAACATGGCTGACTGGGGCTTAGTTAACCTGTGTCATTGTGCTGTGAGGAGACGGGTGTATCCAATGACTTACCTGAGAGATTGAGGGAGGCAGTTAGGGTAAAGATCCACAATAGAAGTTTATGTGTCATTGTTGACGTGCAGACAGCTACTGAAACACAAGTGATGGTCTGAGGGGCTTTATGGGTTACCTGGTTGCATGCTCATGTGTTACCATCCACAGGCCACACCTTATTGGGCGGCCCCAGCCTGTCAGTGGCGGAGTTCGTTCCGCATGGCCCATAACCCCGGGTGGGCGGAGTTTGCTCATTTTAGACCATT